GTCGATAGTACGTTGTCACTCGTTCTAATTGTAGAACGTGACGACCACGAGAACATTTTGAGCATTGTCTAAGTTCTAGAGGACCTACCCGTTCGAGTACGTTCGATGAAGTTTGTAAATAGATCCCAAACGGTTCTTAGTAGGTTCAGTCCGTTCGTACACAGTTGAAGCCCGTTTTCGAGAACGTAGTGAGAACTAGTTTGGTGTGATAGTAGGGTTAGCCACGCGAAACCCCTTAAAAGTACATGCAGCATACTAGTATATTGAGACCCATATAAGAATGATCTCATTCAAAATATCCCATGATAATCCATCCATCAATTAACTCTCAAAACATATATCAAATGTAATCAAAGATAGCAGACATAGACTAACAGTGTCTACGTAAACATTTTCAACTAAAGCTATGGAATGGAAACACAGACAGTCCAAGGAACACACTCGATATTTTACTATATCACGCAATATTTGTCGGCCTCAAATTCTATTCTATTTCCTTCTGCCAATCAACATGTTCTTCTGCCAATCAACCTGATTAGAATTTAGATGAAGGGTATTATTTCAGGATTTATGTAATACGTAAGGATAATCGACTCAATGCATGCTTATTTTAGCCATAAAGTTGCTTGTCATGAATAGATAATAAGTAGTCATCATGTTTCGTGTCATGGATAGATGGTAATCTCATTTTGAAGAGATTATTTTCTGTAACGAATATCTTTGGGACTAGATAATCCATTTCCCTTTATTACTCCTAACAATCGTGGAATTATCCTTAATTGGTATTATCACTGTGCTACAGGAGCGCCGCGTCACTTTCTATATGATAATTCAATTAAGTATATTTCCCATTTGGGTAGCAGTGTCTCATTGACTTACATGTACAATCTTCCGAATAATGTCATTTCGGACCAGCTAAAAATATTAATTAAGCAAAGAGCCGATACAGATGTCAGATGGAAGTGATGTAATCATTTCATATATTCTACAATACCTAAATTACACATAAATTGACGAGAAAGGAACAAACCCTTGCGAGAAATTCGATGTGCAATTCATGACCAGGTCGCGATATTAATGAGTAACATCAATGATGCCATTTAGCAAGTTCCAAACATCGAAAGCAAGATAACAATTCGTCCGTATACACCATCCAAATATACACTCCTCTACAAACGTTCGCTTCTGTCTTCACATTTCCTATAAAATTGTCTTTGTGTTCCAAACTCCTCAATTATAATCCATCAAAAATTGACTTTTGTCAATCTTCCCCCAACATTAAAAGTCTTTAGCACATGGCCCAACGGGGGTTGGGGCTGCCACATATTTGGAGGTGAGTGCGCATCGGATTAATGGAAATATCTTAAGAATCGATATGATATTAAGTTTTATATTAGTTTAGGAATATGATAGACATTCCAATTAGCAAGCTAGTACTTACAGTTTGATAAGGTTTTTATTTGACATCAAGAACGTGTGAAATGTGCCTTTTCTGAACAGTGTACCTACATTGAGAAGGGAGTTCTATAATTATTAATAAGAAGACTGGCATGAACACACTTTTAATTCTGCGACGTCTCCTTACATTACTTTTGAAATAAAATCAAACATATTTTTTAACATAACTTTTATTATCAAGCACATTGCCGCATTTTCTGTGGGTAGGGTGTGTTCGGAAATAATTAATCATAGCTGCGATTGCCTGATATTTTTCAGTATATGATATTAATGTCCCGATGAAGTAATCTGAAACATTTTAGGAAACCATGTTTTTATAATATCTTGTCGATATTAGCATCACCATTTTGAAAAGCTAAGAAGTTACATTTACTTCATTTTGAATTCAAATGTAAAACCACTATCCCCAAATGCATTGGGTGTTTCTTGCAAACAATTTAGTAAAGTATCATAGGATTTATCTCAATGTAAAAAGGTAGTGTATTGATTGAAAAAACGTGCCTAGCATTAATTAAGTAGCATCAAGGTAACAGGCAGTTTTCGTCCGTTTTCCATTCTACCAAAAAATGATTTTTAAAAATGTTGTCATGCTCATAATCACTGGTACTGCACTCGATTACGCTATACACTATTCCCGTTTCAGTAACAAGATGTATGTACACATATACAGGGTGTCCGGAAAGTAAAGATACAAATGCTCTAATTTCAAGGGATTTACCTGTTATGACATGAAATTGCTCCAGAATGTAGAATGACATTATAACAATATATCCTGCAACTGTCATGACTTTCGGTTTCAAAATGAAAAATTTATGGTTGTTATGGTAACGGGAGTTGAGGGTAAGTGGAGCAACGCCACAGCTGTGTTCTACAAATCTCTTTTCTGCTCATATGATCTTGGCACTCCACCATCTATTCCTTTATTATATCAAATTATGTACCACAACAGCATAGGGATTAGTAATGCAACATTATTTGATCATTTCATATTACTACCATCATTGAATATTCAGTATTTTCCCCATTATTTATACATTCTTGGTGCATCTTGACCGGCGATTCAAAGACCTGACAAAACCGCTGCTGTCCATCTCAGATTGCTGATAACATTGGCTTCCAGCTGAGTCTCATTTTTATGTTGAACTTTTTACAAATATTGCTTTCAAATGGTCATTAAGGTAGAAGTCTAAGAGGCTTAATCAGGTGAATATGGGGCATTGTATAGAAAGGTTTAATATCAAGACACTCCATTGTAAGATTTGTTTTTTTTTGCTTTGTGAATTGGTGCATTGTGGAGATGCAATATTGACTTTCCTACTAATGGCCAGGGACCATTCTTCTTGGCACTTGTATAATATTTCTTTCATTATACTGGTTAGTGGCATAACATAGTTCTGATATGTAGCAATGATATCATTATATAAAATATAAAAGAAGACACTATGGCAGCAATGATACAATAATATAAAACAAAACATAGATGGAAAATACAACAAAAAAAACTTTCAAATGGTTGTCTTTTAGCAATTTTTCACTTTTTAGCGTTGTTCTGGAACTGCTCCGCATACCTCTCACATCCATAACCATAACAACCGTAACTTGAACACATTTAAACTATATGTGATGACAGTTGGTAGATATATTGTAATATTGTTCCTCTATAATCTGTAGCAATTTCATTTAAAAAAACCAAGTTTCTTAAAATAAGAGTATTTGTATCTTTACTTTCCGGACACCCTGTGTATATACGAGGGTTGATCATAAAGTTCTCATAATATCTCTCTAATTTCTTTATTTTCCAATATGTTTTTATGAAATTTTCACAGAATGTGCATCATATAACGTCTTATTTATTAAGCAAAAAATATTTACTTTAACAGAAATATTAAATAAGAAATGGTTGCCATAGTAACGGGAAATCAAGGCACCCGGGGCAAATAAAATTAATTGAGAGAATGAGCTTAATTAACCATGTTTACATACATAATAAACTCTCATAGATTACCAAACATGTTAAAAAGTTAACTTGAATATGTTGTAAAGTGCTTTAACAATTAAATAAATCGATTGTGTAAATTTTGTGATGTCATAGGGGATGCTTTCATGCTTCATTAGATGTGATACCAGAGTCTGAGACTCAAAGCTAATGATCAGAAATGACTGAGTAAGAGAATGCAATAGATGCAGAGATCTTCAGAAAAATAAAAATTATACTGATAAAATGTTATGTTAAGTCTGTAAGATCCTTTGGTCAGACTAAACATGATCTAAAACAAATGTATTGCTAAGATAACAACAAAATTACACCATGTGTGTGGTCTGTGCATGTTAAAAATGAACTAAAGGGGCAAAATCAATTTTCCTCGGGATATTTGACAAAACAGTCATGGGGTCTAGCAGTTACTTCTAATGAAGCATAACAATCATTCAATATGAGATCACACAATTCACATGACCATTATAATAGTTCGCAACAGTCAAGAGTACATATTATTTGGCAATTTAATGTGTTTGATAGCTTATTTGACAACTTATTATGTATTTAAACATGGTTAATGGGGACTATTCTAGCTAGTTTTTTTATTTGCCCCGGGTGCCTTGATTTCAAGTTACTATGGCAACCATTTCTTGTGTAATGTTTCTGTTATTCTAAATATTTTTTGCTGGATTAATAAAACATTGCATGCTACACATTCTGTGAAAATTTCATAGGAAAATATTGAAAAATAAAGAAATAAGAGAGATATTATGAGAACTTTATGATCAACCCTCGTATGTATGTATTTTCTTCCATAAATGAAGATTACACGGTTACTACGGTTCCGGTTGGAGAGTTCGATGAGAATTTTATTTTTCATTGATTTCTAAATTATTTCACACGAAATAATTCGTGTGGGATGACAGAATCGTCCATATAATTCCTCACTTTTGTTACGTAAATGGAACCTCAAAAACGGTTATACGTAACGAAAGTGAGCTTTTAAATCGACGATTGTATTGTCATCTGAACTATTTGTTCGCAAACGTGAAGACATATGATGCTGACCCACGTTTGTAATAAAAATGTCATCGAAATTCTTCCTACTACTTGTGAAATAAGTAAAAACGAAAAATCGTACCTTCGAGATTCCGACATTTTGTTACGGAAATGAATCCGTTTCGGGAACTAGTTTGAAAAGTGGATTACCAGTGATGATGGTGAACGCATGTACATGTGACAACAAATCGATAAATTGGATACACATGACGTTTTGTTCATATATAAATAGTAATGAATAATTGTAACAAAGAATATGAGTATGTTTAATATATTTTACAGTGTATTTAGCTTTTATCATTCAATGTCATCCATATATTCAAATGAGTCGAACAGTTCTCGCAACAGTTTTGAAAAAGGGAACATCGAGAATTTCGACACCTTTTTGATCAGATAGCTCAATACTGTTTCAGTTTAAACATACGCTTTATTCAAAATATATAAAAAGTTAAAACAATATAGGTCAAACTGATATTGACTGCAAGAATGACATTTTTCTTTCCAGGGTACATCGACAACATCCATTCTTCACAACATCGTATTCATATCATCCACGTAGGAGAACCCATCATGCCATCCACCGGATCATCACTCAAATCATTTAACAGTAAGTCACATAACGAGATTTCCCTTATTTCGATTTTAGACCAAGTGTTAAATTAAAAAGCCTCATGTCAAAAAAGTAATTATTTTCAAATCTTACATGAGATGATTGAGGAAAATGCAATCGTAAACGTGCTTTAATAGTCTAATCTGGATAGAACACTTTTGCAAAGGAGTGTACCTACAAATGATATAATCCCATGTAACATAAATACTAATGCATGTTTATTATAGACTAGACAGTTAATGTTCTGGTTAAGGTTACGATAACCTCTATGATTGACATCATTAAAGTCTAACATAGACTTATCGTGACATTGTCAATATATATGGAATATTATAATAAAATGTATATTCCAATGATGTACTTATAACCTGCCTTGTGATATATCTTGCAATTCTAATTCGTTAAGAATTACAGGCAATCAGTTCGACGATCTGATATCGTGCGTGTTATTAACCCTTGTGTGGATTTTGGGGTTCGTTTGGACTCCAGAGCACATTCTTTTAAGCCATTTTCAGTGTACGCACGTATGTAGAAGCCCAACTGTTCTGTAACTCTTGCCCACCTATTCTAACAACCCAAGTGTCGTGATTTCATTTATTTAAATGAGGTATGAAAATTAACAAGAGGGTGCCCAAAATAATTTGCTGGAAAACATTGGTCCCCAAAATGTGGGCCATTTTTGAAAATTTAGACACGATTTTGAAAAAATGGACCTTTTAGACCCTACCCTTTGCATTCGTTTGACTTCATTTCTTACAAGAGAGCTTCGTCTTCAACTTCGTCTTTAACTAGACTCTGCACGCAGGGTATATTGACCCATGTCTTCAAAAAGGCAATTTTCCTAAAATAGGGCATTTTTCTGAAATTGAGACCCATCCTAAATGTATTGATATACTCTATTTATTATATTGTATTGCTCATGAGTGTTCCAAGCGCAAACATCGAACACCCGAGGATCTAACCCTCCTCAACGGGTACCCTGTTAAATTATGTAAATAAATGGAAGACAGCTTGGGCTTGAGGCAGCCACATACATGCATCATTACAAGTGGTTTAATTAACTTAATATCAACAGTCATCTCTGGAAGAAACATAATAACATTAAATTGAAAATCAACGTATCAAGTGTATTTGACACAATGAGTAAACCCAGAACATTTGGTTCAGGTCAGAATACTTCGGCAAGAGTCGGAATACTTGGATAGCCAAGAATACTAGGAGCTTCACATACGTTTTAAGACTGGCACACAACGAAGGTCTTTTCTGGTTCATAGTGAAATGTATTGTTTCTTGATACGTTTCGAACTGCAATGCAAAGAGATGCAGGTATCACTGGTGATCCACTCGATTACGCTGGTTACCAGCACATTGCTGTGAACCGTTTTGGTAACAAAATGTCGGAACGTCGAAGGCACGATTTTCTTTTTTCCTTATTTCACGCGTTGTAGGCAGAATCCCCACGACGTTTTTTCTCACAACGTGCATCAGTATCATATGTTTTAGAAAATGTACATGTTTGCGAAAAAATAGCTCAGAGGACAACAGAATCGATTTACTTCCTCACGTAACTTACATAAACGGTTTTTCGAAAAACAGTTAAGATCTGCACTTTAACCCAAACCGTTTATGTAACTTAAGTGAGGAAGTTAATCGACGATTATGTTGTCTTCTGAACTATTTGTTCGCAAATATGTACACTTTCTTAAACATATGATACTGATACACGTTTGTGTTAAAAAATGTCATGGGAATTCTGCCTACAACATGTAAAATAAGGAAACGAGAAAAATCGTACCTTCCGGATGTTCCGACATTTTGTTACCAAAACGAACCGTTTTGGTAACCAGCGTAATCGAGTGGATCACCAGTGGGTATACGTGAAAAATTATGCCAAATACATTTTCAAATTAGACATGTTAAAGTTCGTGTGGGACTCTATACCGCAATATCAAGGATGTTTTAAGACAATATGATACTCTTCCATGCAAATATATCGAGAATACATACGGGATGCAACGTACCCAGCATACCACTACAGCTTGTAACAATGCCATAATGAGGTTTATATCTAATACTGAGAAGTTTATCATCTATTTAAATTAAATAGATACAAAAGAGCGAATTTGTTTTAGCAGTCAAAGTCATACATTAAGAAAACTTGATATTACAGCACGGTATTTTTAAAAGAATTCCTAAAAACCGTTATAAAATAAGGAATTGATCCTCTTCAAACGCCATTGTATTAAGTCTATTCAAAACTACTAATTATGGCGTTTTGTACATTCCAGCCGAAATATGGGAAGCCATGTTGCAAGAGGAGAGTCGCAAAGCCGAAGAACTCATCAGTCGCTACACAGAGAAAATAAAAGTGCTGAATGTGAGTAGACCCAAAAATAGGCATTTCTCATCAATCGTGTCTGCTTTTCGTGAACCCACACGAAGCTTTAGGTGTATATCAGCTAGTCATACTTTGTAGCAGAAATGATTGAAATCATACGTTATAGCTGTTTTATGTCACCACCGTAAGTGGTCACATATTGTTAGTCTCTAGCTTTTTGTGGACGGAGTTCGGTGCCCGTCGGTCGCTGTTCGGAGTTTGGAGTCTTTAACAATTTGCAATAATTTACAAGGTGGTGACATTATTGTCATGTTCATGTCGTGTTCAAACTACCAATACGTTCATATTATTTCTGTCTTGAAGCTGTACAAATAACACTTTAACCGATAGGTGGCATGAGAGATTGAACTGATCTTATTGATAGATACGTTCGCAACGTTAACTTCTTCAATATGTCTTTTTATAGCTCGTCCAATTATAAAAATGACAAATTGAAACGTCTGATAGTAACTGGCAAGATCATTATTTTAATATACACCCAGAGTAACCTTTCTGAATAAATGAGCAATTCATCTGATCAGCGGAGGAAACCTATAAGGACCAATTTTACAGATGTGTTGATAAGAGCAACCCGTCATCCTTGACTCCTGTCTTATTATTTTCCTTGATCGGTAATGAATACACTACGAGATGGAAATACAATATATTCAACAAATGAGGTCGACGTTGTCGTAAAAAAATCAAAAGAGAGTTTAAAACTTGCAATCTTTTTCACAACTTAAACGCGAATGGAAAATATTTAAGCGATCTATTTGTTTGGGCGATTGGTCATAGGTATAGGTTGCATGTATATCCAGAACTTGGTTTAATTTAAAAATGTCAAAAATAATTTAACTCTAACCCTAAGACCATGAATATGTGTGTTAAAATATCAAAAAATGAATTCCATAAATACATTAAACTTGTGTGTCAAAAAATGAAAAATATATTTAACCCTTGGTCTTTGAATTTTTTTATTGTTTTGATACTGCCGAAGTTCTGGATATACCTCATAGGTTGGCGTTTCAATTTTTATGCAAGCTTAAACTCTCTTATATTTCTACATGGTCTCAAAAATACATGCTTATTGGTATAAGGCATATTGTTTATATGGAACGCGAATGCGTGCCTTGATTCATGTTATCTGAGAACATTGTATTTTTGCAGTTATGAAATTTTCCTTTTTAAATTATGGCAAAATCCCTTTTTGTACTCTACGTAATCTACGCAGACTATGATTTATCATATCCATTTCATTTTCTTCAGATCGAAGCTGAGACGTATCATGAATTTAGCAACAACGCTGGCCACGCCATTGTGAAATATTCTGAGAAACACGATGCTTCTATGATAGTAATGGGATCACGTGGTCTAGGTGCTATCAGACGGACGTTTCTCGGGAGCGTCAGTGATTACGTTCTGCATCATGCAAATTTACCCGTTCTCGTCATTCCAAAGAAAAACAATGCTAAAGCCACATAGAGTAAGAGTAGTTCTAAATATGACGATCATCATTGCTTCGATCTCGAGTCTAACAAGAGATCGGAAATTACCTTTAGTGAACAATTTGTAATGTATCCTGCGGAGGTTCCTGGCAGCTTATCCAGAACAATAGGATTGCAATACAATATAAGGATTTTTCAATAGATGTGTTATTCAATAGATGTTTTTCAATAGAGGTATACAATTTGATAGACATCTTGACAACACAATACTTTACCAGCAAAAAGGATCACAATCCATCGAACGCGACATTAAATGTATCTGTTCAAATAAACACTCTTCAGCATGTGAAAATAGGGAGTTGACCCATCGTGTCACCACTTCACCGTTCATTCGAATCAAATATTATCCATAAATTAAAAACACATTAAAGTAATATTTCATCGCCGCGGTTGTATCAAAAATGTGTAAATATTGACCGCCGAAGGACAACAAGCCCCTTGAAAACCTATTAAATTTTATTTTATTTAAGGAGATATAAACAGTAAAAAATATGACGATCATTATGAAGTCATTTTCGAACAAAATGCTCAGTATGAACCTTTAGAAGGAGTCGGGACAGAGTCATGCTGCTGAATAACGGTAATATGGCTAAATTCACATCCCGGGATACACATGTACATTCCAAGTTGCAAAAACACAGTTATCAGAATACTGTTACTCCTACGGTTTAAGATCCCTCGATATGCAGTATGGAATAAAAACTCCCGCAAACGGATAAATGGATATTAAGAACATTTAACAACATCAAATAATTTGTTTTCCAATATGCCTCGCAAAAATGAATTACAATCCAAATCGACATTTCAATAACGAACGATTTGATGTATCATGTGTCCCATATGCTTTTAAAAGTCGCAAGTCACATTATTTGTGATCTATTATTGGTTTTAATAATTAATATAATCAGTACGACGAAACATCATAGTGTCACATGTCACGTGATTACATTATGTATTCTAGACTCATCTACACACCCACCATAATAATATTGGCTTAACATAAAGTAGAATACCAAGGCTGATGCACTTAACTTACTAACATCACAGAATGAATTTTTATGATCTATATGTACAGACATAAACTATAAAAATATTATTGTATGTCTCTCTTTCTCTCTGCTGCATAATGAATCTTATTTTCGATCGTATTAACCTAAGATTACCTTGGCGAGGACTATACATTATTCCATAGATCAATCCAGCCCCATGCTTTTTGAAACGAGCGACATTCTTATTGTTTACACACTTCATTTGTTTACAAACATTCAGAAGAAGTTGTTCCTTCGAATAATTTACAATTCTTAACATTAGAAAATGTAAACATCAAATATGTATAAAATAATAAACTCGTAAAACTATTAAAAGATTTAATATATTTGTGTTCTTATTATTATATTCATTTTTTATAATCTTAAAAGATTGATACCTTGAACAAAATTTAAAACAAAGGGTTATATAAGTGTCTGACCATGCGCAGTACAGATGTATAGAGGTTATATACAGGCCCCTCGGGAAATATCATAATGTCCCTCGGAATAAACCCATGTTCAATACCAAACAGTAAATACGCTTTTTATCCCATGATATTTATGAATTTTTGATGAATCGTTTTATTTCAGAATCAATATCTGATTTTTGCATGATAAAAATACTGTATTTTCGGTGAACAAAAATATGACTTAACTTTTTGACATTTTGAAATATAAAATCTTCATTGTATGACATCAACACATCAAAATAAAAAAATCAACAATACGGTACACATATTAAAAGTATTAGACTGTAAGACTGTCATTAGACTGTACACAGTGTTTATTGCAGATAGCAAACACATTGAGGTTATTGCTTCTGTGAACTATTACTGTCTCTGTCAGAGCATGATGATGGAATAACAATTCGCCTATGTTTAAAAAACTTACTTGACTTCACACTGCACACCTTTTGTAAATATCTTTTTTACATGAGAACACCATTCCAGCTCGCTATACCGACCAAATTGAGCGAAATAGTGTTGTTTCGCGAGAGGTATTGGATGGTGAATACGATTTCCGTAAGGGATTGGGAGGGACTATACCATTCTTTTTAATATCAATTAAATATATTCCTTGCTGTTATTCACCCCGTGGGTTAAATGCTCCGTAATACTTCCGTTTTCATTGGGAGATAAAGTTTTCATTTGAATGCAATAACGCACTTCATATATTTTGCTGAAAACCGCATTGTAAAGCTCTTATAATAATCATGATTGTCGTGATAATTGCAGCAGAATATACTGTACTCCAGATCGCGACCGATTCGAAGTCATAGTTCGTTGAAAATGTATTTTTGGATATATGGGCCAAGATTTATCAAAACGGATAATGATTTTCTCATAATAAACATTGGAATATAATTTCTCAGGGATTCAGGGAGCTTTGAGTGCCCGATGTAATCAAATGGGATGCTTTTAATGGCACTCCATTATCAAGTGATACAATTAACATTGTTTTTTTTTAATTAGTAACCCCGAATGACAATATATTATAACTTTCTAGTACAGATTTAATCGTTTATATCCTCACATATCCATATTCAGTTTGCTGCTGAAACATCATAAACATCGTCGTGACAACAATATTAAAATATTTTTGAATGCTGAGAGGCAATTAAATTCACTAAATTTTAGGCGTTCCTCATGATTTGCATATCACGGCATATAAATTGCTGATAGTTCAAACTGTCCTTATAAGGTGGCTTATCCAGTTGCGAATTAAAGCTCCGATAACAAGGTAAGTAGAAACATTTTCGCAAAATATAAATTCAGACAATTGAAAAGTTTCTTGTTTTTGAAAATTAGTTGCATTGCTCTGATGAAATTTAGTCGAAGTTTGTAATCTTAGAAAGTTTATAATAAATTTGTTTAACTATTTAAACGAGAAATAGTAACTTTTTTATGAAACAGAAATTGTAGTTGTATTATTGCAGCTGTTGTAAAAGTGTGTTAAAAGGTAATTGACTTTTGATTTTCGCATTTTGGTTTTGGTATTTGAAATGCCTTTGATATGGTTTTAGTGTTTGATTTGCTTTTCATGAAGTGAAATCGGCTGCTCAATTGATATGTTACTAATTTATTGGGGGGAGGGTTGGCACTCGTTTGTTATTAAGTTTTTTAACAATGCAGTAAACTTATTTTGTTATTGATATATTGCTAAAGAACACTAAAAAATTTTAACTTACATTTTCCTCGTCTATGCGACAACTGTTATACTTTACGGCAAACCATTTGATTTTTGATTTTCATGAGAACTATGATAGATATGTAACTATATGTAAATATATAGAACTAGATATGTAAATTGAATTTATGAATACATTCACTTTTTTCCGTTCATCACTAACAAAATGTCGGAGATTCGTGATAAATATAATAACTTTATTTAATAAATCCCTTGTGAAACCTTTATAAACACCTGGTTGTATATACTGAAGATGACGCAAGAGCCGATTAAAGATTTGATACTTGGATTAAAAAAAACTTTGGCCTTTAGAAGTCCTTTTTCAAAACTCTGTATAAAATTTTGGCGTGCATAAATATTAACTTTTAGAAACCATTTTTGATAATTTGTCGTCAATTCTAGACCCACATTTGTAAAGATTGGAGGAATATATTCTTATGATATACGTGTGATTAACAGTAGAACATTATATACTTTCAGTCTAAATATGAAGAATTTGGTATTACTGAGTATTCTCGCTGTATGCCTTCAGGTATGTTTGATAGATTTATATCAATTATATATTAATGTAACATACTCTACTTCATTTTGGAGTGAGAAGAAAAGAAAAGATGAAACATAATCGCTTCAGTGTTTTTCATTTATTTCTACGCCTAGCATCCAAACCTGACTATTTGCAAGTATTAGATACTAACAACTTGTTCCAAGTGTGTGCCGCAATGCATTTACATCTCTGTTATTAAACAGGAAGTTATTGTAAATATTTCACAAACTTCTGTTTTTATTCATGCAGGGGTGCTTCGGCAGAGTAGTAGTTACCAAGGATGATAGTAAGTCAATTCTTATTTATCCATTGTGAAATAAAGAATAAATATCGATATTATGACTTATGGTGCAATAATTTACCGATAATTTTTCATTTATTAGAAAAACTTCAATCGCGTAGCTATCCAGGCTTTTTTGAGAACCAAGAATTGCCTGTAGGTCAATGAATTCCAACTTATAAACACTTGTTTTATGTATTATAATCAAAATATATTTATATTTGATTGGGCAGAATAATATATGAACGAGCATTTTCAATTAACATAATGAAATGTCATAATCATATATCAGTTTAGAATATTGAATAATCAAGTAACTACATTTAAAATTAAAATCGCTTTCACGCTTTTAATGTATATAATAACAATTTTCTTTTGGATAATATTGTATATTTATGTTGTTTGTTTGTGTTCTTAGTCGGAGTCGTATGTGGCAAGGAGGATTCAGTGTTAGGGTTTGGTCCAATTAATATAACTATCGAAATACCGAATAATCTTTGGGATGCTAGTAACTACACCATCTATGCATTCGAAAACACAAGCTGTGCGTTTACTCCTGAAACAACCGATGGTTTGAATCCACTTATTAGCGATAACTCTTCATATTTCAATTCATACAAGCTGGGTTTGGAGCCCCAGGTTATTGCCGAGGGTGATGAAGGAACATGTGGCGTTAAGCGAATTGTAAGTTCAATGAGAATTTCAGAAAAACAAACTTAAGGTATATGATAAATATGAAACGAATGGATACGTTTAATTGACTTCTTTGCATCCGGAACTTCTCAGAGGGAACTCTTGTAAATGGGCTAATCGTGTGAGTTAACTACAATACATTTGTTAGTTCTAAATAGTTTGCTTATCCTTAATGACAGAATCCCCTTACCAAGTTACTTGCGAGTTGATAGTTAGTGTTTATATTTCATTTCACGTTCAGTCAGCTCAGAAGTTGTCTGTAGACATTGCTGTCGTCGAAGGAGATCTGTTTACCACAAATGACAAAGTGTTCACTGTCACTTGCGACTACACACCTAAGAATATAGATGGCAATGAAGTTGCGGAAGGAGATTTAATTCCGTAAGTCAATTGTGTTTTAGATGTTAGACTTGAATGGAGAATTCAAAGTGACCTGAGGTATATCTGTAAAACTAATACATACTTAATTGCATGTTGACTTTGTCAGAGTCGGAAAAGAGTCAGAAATTGAAATACTCCATTGTTTTCTAAGCTTGCTTCGACGGGCTCCACGTATATATGCGAGCGAGACTCCTCATTTAGCTATGGTACTACAGTTAAAAAAACAAGGTAGAATGGGGTCTGGAAACAACCCGTATAGAGAGCACATAAGAAATGCTAACAAAAGATTTTGGCAAATATTGTCTGGTCTTTAGAAACTAGTATGTCCTCCTATGAAATTATACTTTTAACGACAAAACAGTCATGCAATCATACAAAATCTAAACGAGCTAATTTCTTACGTTATTTTCTTTAAGGACTCCTCCAGAAATCGGAGGAACAGCCAGTCCAAATGATCTTGATCGAATCTACAACTTGGAATTAATAAATGCTGAAACTGGACGAGTTGTTGAGGGAAGTGTTCCAATTGGCACACCCGTGCAACTCAGAGTTAGAGCTGAGGGGGCAGATGAGGGGCAAAATGGGGGCGTTGGTAAGTAAATACAAACTAACACCTGCAATAAGTCAACATGCCAGAAATAAACCAAATGGTCTAAAATTTTAAATTTTGAAATTTTAAAATCAATGTTATAATATGCAGTGTATAGTTTACAAATTAATTTAATTAAACTATAATATGTGCGGCATTGACCATGTATGAAGATACATAGTATCGAGGTGATAATAACCAAGTAAGCAGCTGTAAAAGTGTGTAGTTGAATTTATCTTAAAATTACTTAAAGGTGCAACAAGTAGTGCAGAGGGACCATTCAACGATCATGGACAAGTGTCAAAATATATTTAAGTTTGAATATTTCATCAAGACCAGCATCTATTTTTATTTTCTACAAAGAAACCCCCTAGATGCCGTAATGCCGTAATTGATAGTTTATCCATACATGTTAAGAAAATAGGTATGTCGAAGAAGATGTTAAGCCAACTGTTGCCTTGATAGCTCAGAAAAAGTTAAAATGCTCCTATTTTCTCTCTACAAGCCTTATTGCCCCTTTAAATTGCTACTTGTAGAATGCACTTGCCTCGATGGCTCAATACATTAGATTTAATTCAGCCATTTAAATATATGAGCCATATATATGTACTTTTTTTATATATTATGTATATACAACTTTTATATTACATGGTTAAATAATAACATGCCTCCTACATATTACTTATCTTGTCTTATACAGCGGATGATGAAAATGGTCTACAGGTTTCATCATGCACAGCTACCAACAGCGAGGGTAAAAATACAGTTACTCTCATATCCGATTAGTAAGTACACACTATTTAATATATATCAAAGAGGTAGAAATTCTAAACGCTATTTTTGAGTTATCATCAAAAATAATCGCTGTACAGCACCAGTCACGCTGCTGTACCCGACCTGTCATTAAATGCCTTAACCTCTCTAATGACTCGTTTTGAAAATAAACGATAAAGTTGTTTTGAAAAGTTTTTCGGTAGTGTATCCCTTTTTGAGAAGTGTGCTTACAAAGTCATTTCTCAGTATTTTATGAAGTTCTATATGCGTTGGTGTTACATTCTGAATGTAGCTTTAAATAAAAGGTCTATCACTTTATGCTGTATGATAAATCATAATATCTTATCAATGCTGTATATGAATTTGTATTTCTATAAAAGCTGCACTGAGTTATGAATTTATATTTATATTAAAGCTGCACTGAGTTCAAAGATGGCATTGACTTCGTTGAGAAACCCGACGTGAATGACAGGAAAGGCTTCTCCAGTGTCGACATGCTGTCTTTCTCTCCCGCCTTTGAAATGTTCGCCATTGCAGGTGGCCCCGTAGATCACGTGGTCATATTTAGCTGTAATGTCGTCGTTTGCAGGATAGATGGCGCCTGTGACGGGGTATGTAAGATAAGTTAAGCTAATAGAAGTAAGCGTTTTGGCAGTTTTTTGTTTGATGAAATAATTCTCCCTCGATTGAGTACATTGGTACACTCCCCTCCGTAAGTTTGGCAACCTTAGCTCCCCAATTGAACAACGTGTTAAAGCCTCTCTACCTTTGAATTTGTATGTACTTAACCTGCCATTAAAATACTTATACTATTGATGGAAACGTAGTTTGACTTTATTTCCAATACCTCCAAATTTTTCAAGAAACCTCTCCCATTGAAATAACACAGGAGTCGAAAAATTATTTTCAAAAATTACTTTAAAGCGCTGTAACTTTAGTATTTATCAAATAAACTAAACACTTAGTGTACAAAAAAGTTAGACAGTTCAATTTTTCTATATAAAACTATTTTTTTGCTGAATCTTAATTTACTGAAAAGATATCCTGATTTCTGATTTACCCCGAATCCTCCATTTCCCATTGGATTACATGGGAATGACGATTTTTAAAAATTCATCAAATTTATCATCCATTTTCGACCTATTGTAATCGAGGAAAAAAATTGATAAAATTTGAAGGTATTTGAAATAAAGTTAAGTTACGTTTCAATCAATATTAAAAGTTATTTCATCGCCGGTTAAGTAAAAAAAATTCGAACATAAAGAGGCTTTAACACGTAGTTCAATGGGGGAGCTAAGGTTGTCAAACTTATGGACTGAAGTGTAGGTCAATTGTACATGCTTGCTTGCCTTTAAGATATGATATTTCAGTGCAAGAATAGTTCATATTCATTTGATTTTAGGATAACTGTCCAAGCAAAAAGAAGAAGAGATCTGCCTCACCAAAGTTAAATGAAGTTAGTCTCTACAGAGCCAGACGAGCAGCGGATGCTGCAGGGAACGTGCGACTCATGACTGAAATTGTTGTTGATGAAGGACAGAATGGGGGGAATGCAGGAAGTGAGTACTAAAGCCGTTCGAAACGAGCCGCTATTGGTAATAATGATATGATGTTTATGTATGTAAATCTGGACGACATTTGGGTGCCGTGATTAAAAGTTAAGAATTCGTATAGGAAGTGTTGTAACGATGAATAGAGTGAATTTACAGTAAGAGAACAACGTGCTGATGAATTCATTGATAGCTTTAAGTTAAAAAAATGAGCTCCATGATAATTATGTACAGACTGATAACAAGGATGTACTAGTATACACGTATATAATATATTTATCGCACTTGTATTTTAGTAATTGCCGGGGCTGGGATGACTGCAGAGATGACCACTTTGGTTGTCGGATTGACTGCCCTTGGAGTCATTCTCCTCCTCTGTATGGTGGCCGCCATTGTGGTTGCTATGCGACTAACACAGTCCAAAAAGAAAACGACAAAAACAGTGGTTCACCATGACAACCCAAGTTACAGCCAATAAACAATGAACTTCTATCTAGGTCTATTAAATATCCAGCCATCATCTCAGGACGCATAATATCTCATACTGATAAAAAGTTACAATCTTAAATGGATAAAAATAGCATAAGGTAAATGGAAATCTTTGATGTGAACACATAACGACTCATCTATCCACTTTAGGAATGATGTGATGATTAAACGACTTTTGTTTTCTTTAACTTTTCTTTTCTTTTATGATTTTATAATAATTATAGATTCACAATGACCATAAACTATACATATGTATCTATATTATATTATATTATTTTACAAAATGAAGACAAAAATACAAAAAAAAACACGAACGATATACGGTATCGAACTCAGCAAGACACGGACTTTGAGCCGTACACACTATATTTGAAAGAGACACACAGCTTTTACAGTTAGTTAGTTTAAATCAAAATTTGGGAAAAGATTAAGCCAAACACGTTCAAAAAGTGTGTACGGTATTGACTACTACAGTTGGAGTATGTGCCTACGTTCTTAACATTTTGGTTATATAATGGCAAACGTTGGATTAAATCGCTAACTGTTGAGAGAATTATTCTAGACATTTGAATGTATTAAAGGTACAGCTGTTCCTCGTGATAATATTATGACAATGATTGAAATTCAGTGAATTATCCAGCTGTACAATATGATGTCTGTCTTTAAATTCTAAGTATACAACTGTTTGTAATTTGTGCCAAATGTTGATGTAAGGATTTCATACAACTGTTGTTTTTTGTATTATATAAATAAAATATATGCGTATGTTATCTTGCAAAACGCATAGTTCTAGTATTGGTGTAATAAAAAATGTGAGAGGTTGGGGTTTCTGTAAACTTGCAAAAGTACAACTAATGCGCAACGTCGGTCACAGAAACGGTAACTTATATCAATCAGCTGATACGCCTTAATGGTTATGGTAGATGTAGCTGAATTATAAACATACTGTAAATTGATGAATCAAATGGTTACATTGCTCTTATCACTCTCTGTAAAAAACCGTCCACCCGAATCATTAATTTGATTTGAAACAACACTTTGCACTTGAAGGAGATAGAGGTGGGTTAACGCACAGAGACATGTAAAACATGCAATGGTAGCTATGAAAGATGTCATGTCAGTGCGGGGCAGGTACAATCGGCTGTAATTAACTCATTTAATATATCATTGACCTTCAGTTGAACTCGTATTCACTCGTATACGCGCAGTCTTCAAAGTAACATACACTAGGTGGTATCTTGCGTAAGAACTATGTTCAACACACATCGAGGTCGATGTTTTGAACTTGAATTTGAAAATGACACCTATCTAATGATATATTAGTATTTGTCATCTAAATCATTGATATAATGTAAAAATAGATATAAATACCGTTGAAGCGTTATTGAAGATTAATGTAAATATATTGCCTCGTGTTTTAAATCTAAGAGGGTCTTAAATCGCTAAGAAAAAATTAATTTAATCAGTTGTATATGTAAAAATTAGAAAACCCAGCTTGCTATTACAGATAATATTACAGATATACTGACGTGTCGCAAAAAGCTCGCGCACGCATTGTTACACATTTTGTGGCGTAATCCAGAGGATCCTCGCTTTTAACATGATAGAATGTGACGTTTTTGAGAAAAATGTACACACATGAAAATCCTTTCGTCCTCCACATTTACCTCTATATCTCAAAACATTTTAGACGAATAACTCTGATATCATATATATATTGTTAATGGGCTAGGAGCATCACAAAACACGAATCAATTGATATTTTAGGTGAAATAAATATACGTGTTGCTGTGCTTGAAAATAGGCGAATGGCGTAAATTAGCCCTATTTTAATGAATTTTGAAAACCTTTCGTCCTCCTGTTTTCCACATACAACAGAAAACAGATACTTTTGTGAACAAAATCAACTATTTATTAAAAAATTTGAGTTTAGGAGCAAAATAATCATGTATGATTTTTTAAAAATTGATCTCGTATTTTTTGTTTAATGTACACCTGAAAAGTTGAAGGTACCAAAAAATGAGCAAAAAAGGTCGCTATCAACAGATTCTATTTTTCAGACTCTATGACGTCACAATATGGGACGCTTACTAAAATTCATCCTTTGAAATAAAACTTCCATCTACCTTTATCAAGACGAAAAATAAGTATAATAGTCATATATTGTTTGAGTTATGAGCGTTTAAAGACGAAAAATAATTCAAAATGTAACGTGTCAACATGGGATATTTGCCAGATGTTTTGGTAAAAAACTCTTTTTTAAAAACGAACGCGCAAACAATGTGAACGGAGTGTAGTTGATCTAAAATCTTCATCGAAACAGCTTTAAAATGATATTTAACTTTAATTAGAATATTATCTTATAATCCGGGGAATCAAAGTTACATTCACGCGATACCCTTAAAAAACAAATGCGCCACCTTTTTGCGACACGTCACTGTAGATAGGATGTGATATTTATAGGATATCCTATGATTTTGAGGACTATCATTTTTATCTACGAGGTGATATTGATATCTGCACGAGAGAGCAAAGCGAACGAGTGCATATATCAATATCACCGAGTAGATTAAAATGATATTCTGAAAAAAATCATAGGATGTTCTTATTATCCTACACTTACAAGGAGTGCACTAAATGTATAATATCATTGCAAAATGAATTTCATGCCAAATAGAGTCAATTTGGCGGGAAATCAACAAGCGGAGTATATCGTCACAATATCCTCCGCATAGTGGGTTTTCCGGAGTATATCGTGACGATATCCTCCGCCCGGAGTATATCGTGACGATATCCTCCGGATATTCATTTTGCCCATAAATATCAAATTTATTTTTTAATGTTATTATACATTTAGTACACTAAGTGTAGGATAATATATACTAGTATATATGATATAGTGAATATAATATAATATAATATAATATAATATAAAACTAATTTTACTCTATTATAATAATAAACGTGCACATATTTGGCAACACTTAGTATACCTATATCAAACAATTTATTACAAATCAAATGCCCTTAATATCAGTAACTGAAACATCGCATGGTTCTCCAAAAAGTAGAAGATTCGGAGTACCCGAGTCCAAAACATCAATTGCGCCAACGCTGAAAAATTAATATGAAGTGTTAGACTCAAACCCTGTCTTCCCGGGTCGACGCCTGTATATATTTATCAATTTCAAGTATTGAGACTTATACATGTAACATTACATAACATGCGATCTTACTTACGTCATTGCACTCCTAAGCCATTCAGCCACAACATACGGTGATGGGTCACCAAAGGTTGTCCCAGAGTTTAAATTTGTTGCAATAACGCCAGCCTGTAATATAAGGTAACTCGTTAAGTTGCAAATTGTATTCACGACCCGGCTGCTGTCTCTCGGAAGATACTCCAACTTCCCTTGAGATAAAATCTGGAAACCTCCAAGTTCATAAACCTCACATATCCAATGGTAGGAATTCATACTTAAACTCGGATGGACACAGGACTGATTTTTTCAAAAGTCTCAAAATCTTAATAAGTTTGATAGAAAAATATGTCATCGAATTGATGGTTTAACTCTTTAAAAATCAAATCTTATAAAATGTATGCTGTATTGCAAATGAATGAACATTTGTATTTTTTAGACTCGGCATATCTAAAACATTTTTCAAAATCTTAAATTTGTTTTTTGGCCACAATGTTTACCAAATCTTGAAAATCGCCTGATATAAATAGGGTTTAAAATGTCGTCCAAATAAAATTTCAGGTTTCCAAATAAAAGCTTTGGAGACATTGACCTGAATAATACAAACGCATTACTTACCACTAGGGGCGTTGCCATTGATGTGCCTGGAGAAGAGAAACGCGGTTAACATATTTTAGTAACCTCTTAAGTTGCATTAATACCAAAATTATTAACAGATAAGCAGAATATCAAATAAGTACGCATATGCACGCCTTGTTAAGACAGTACCTATTACTTATTATGCAAAATACCTCTTACCCTGATCGATTGTACAAGGTGATCTTTTGAGATCAAATGTAAGCATACGAGGGGCGATCCAAAAGTCTTGGACGCCCTGCTCTAATTTTGTTGGTTTTTGCTAAAATTTCTTTAAACTTTCCAATAATAAAGACCAACTACTTTGTGTATTAACTTCATGGTGATATGATATATTTTATGTATTTTTCTAGATAGTTTTTAATATAGGGACCCTACCAACCGTAACGGTATTCGCACATGGTAACGGTCAGCCTTAAATGTTGGCACCATTTGACTTGTCTTGACCACTATCTTTCTTTGAATTTTGAATGTTAAACCATGTTAGTTTACTTCCTTTGTTACCAGGCAACCAATTAATTGTGTTTTAATCATAATGTCACACATGACAATGGCTGTATATGTCAAATTCTAAGAAAATGACATCAGACAAGCAACCCTTATTCTTGTATCATGTTTGCTCCAAGATGGCTGCTGAAATACAGAATATGAAAGAAATCAAAGTGAAACAAAGAATACTACAAGATATTCTCACTATTATTGACTTTGAACACTTTATGCACGATACAGTCTAGATATGGCTCCGTGTGATTTTCTGCCTTTTCTGAAGTTGAAAGGAGGGTTGAAATAAAATATTTTTTACTCATTTGATGAGGTTTAAACTGGCACTCCAGAAGCATTATTTTGTATCACATTAGCAATGTCAGTTCTTACGTGATTTGCTATATTTAAATACCGTTCGGGGTGGTAGGGACCCGATATTAAAAAATATGTAGAAAAGTACCTAAAACATGTTATTTTCTGGTGAAACTTATACACAAAGTTGTTAAGATGTCGATCTTTATTATCTGAAAGTTTCATGTAATTATATTAAAAAATAGCAACGATAGAGCGGGGCGTCAAAGACTTTTGAATCACCCCTCGTAAATGGGCTTTGGAACGGTACCAAATAGGGACTTCATGTTGCAAATTTTCAGATGAGAGCAGAGCCGACGCCCATTTACACCCACCGAAATGAGGAAATCGTAGTACTATAGTTTGTATGTTGCATATCACTGCTTTTAATCACATTGTATAACAACACATTACCTGAACGGATTGTGTACTTTTCCTTTAAATCTGGACAACGAATATCTTCACCCTGAAAAATAATAATTTCATTTTTATTATTCAACAACTCCACCAGTATTGCTCTCTTGTTTCATTTCCATGACAGTAGGATACTTTAGTACCATTTATTAGATGACCTAATCAATCTGGCGAATCAACAAATCAACCAAGCTCAGATACAATAATGGATTGCATACGATTTAAGTTTACTTATGATATATTCCCAGGATATCATATTGTATAGTTGATTTAGTGACACGTGTATAAGATAACAAATAATGTTGAATTACGAGATTTTTTATTCAATTTCCTGATTTCTTTGTTTATTATGCGCGCTTACTACTATTCTTTATCCACAAACAAATATAATTATCATAAGACCTTATCAACACTTGTTCTGGTTCTGTACTGAAGCTATCAATGTCAAATTGAATTAATATTAATACATCACAATATCATATGCCACTATTTAATGACACTATGGAAAGTTAATTGGAAAAGATGAGAGCATTTTGAAAAATAATGTATTTGCCCAATAAAGCTATGTATTTTTAATCGTCGTTGAAATTAGGCCAAAGATCAATAGTATTTGATTTGTTAACAACATTACAAGAATCAAAGGTTTTTCCATTTTCCCCAAAGGACCTTTACACATTTATGATAAATGGTTGACATATTCTAAATTTATAGACGCTTTTTGTTAACATATACAGTACTTACCGGAGCTATAATATCAACGCAACTGCCGATGTTGGTCGTGTCAGCTAATCTATCATCTTTTGTACTTGATGCAACAGTTATCCTAAATTGTACATGTACAAAAAGGTGTTCATTAGGATTTTTATTTTGAAATCGGAAACGTCTTATATAAATGGACAAGAACTTATGGACATTTGCTAAGCAATCTGAATATAGGGGGGTAGTACTTTTTGTATTTAGGCTAATTCAAAATACACTTATACTGATGATATACCTCTTGATTCATAATTCGTTATCCAGATTAAAAGAATGTTATTTTAATTTTAACATTGTGGTACGATGTTTTTATTATTAAAACTAATGAAATCATTTTAAAAATATCAATAATATTGACAAGGTATCATAACCTCACGAACAGAATGAATTATATATACCAATAAAATTGGATGGGACTAAGTTTTTTTCTTTTAAAAAAACTATATGGAACTACGAGGGTTGTCCCATAAGTCTTGAAATTTTTATTCTAATTCAAATCGATTTTAATGAATTTGGCTGCAAATTGGTATGTATCAAGATCAATCAATTATCTTCAACATGTGATAGTTTCAAAACAAAATTATGAACTTGAGTAACTATTATGGTTGCTATGGTAACCGGGGGAGTCGAGGGGTGGGGTAGTAATGAAATATAGTAAAAATGTAGATGCAGCCATGGGAGTATTGAGGATTTTAAAGGATGGTATGCAACTTAAATTGTGAATCACCTGTCAAGATTGACAAAAACACTGTATTCTTGGTAAAATCTTATGAAATACCTCTGCGATGTCATAATAAACTAGCACAATTGCTCAATTTTGGTACAGAGCCACATCATTTTGAAAATCAAAATGGCCAGGATTTTAAAAACTGGAGATACCAGCCTGGAGGATGCTCCTAGAAGTGGAAGGCCAAAATCCAGTGACGATCTCATATCACATATTGCAGAGAGTATAAGGGCTGAAAGGAGACTACTCAGTGTATGGATATCACCCTAGACTTTGATATTAGTAAGAGTACTGCTCACAGAGTGATGAAGAAAGACCTTGGGATGTCAAAGGAAGCCCATTGATTCATTCCACATATTCTGACAGAGGAGCAGAAAAGGCAACGTGTTGAGCTGAGCCAGGGGTTCCCAAATCCTTAATTTTTACGTCATATTTGTATTCTTTATCCTGTTTTCTGCCCCGGGTACCCCAACATTCCATTTTAAATCATCTGTAACATTGCCAAATGATCTTATTATGCTATGAAACTTACAGAGATAGTAGAAATATATCTAAGTTACAAAATATGAAATTTTTATTATTGTATCTCAAATATTTCTTGAATTAGAATAAAAATTTCAAGACAACCCTCGTACTCTTACTATTCATCTGAAGTTCCTTGAATAGATTTTACTAGTTTTTATATCTATGGCCTGGATCTTGTTTTTCTCAATTTAAACATATCGAAAGTCTCCTCTACACTATATTGACAATTTCTGAAAAGGGGATAGGTATTGAAATGCGTTTAAGTTAAAAACCACATATCCCATGTTATTTTCACATAGGGAAAACTCGTGCTATCCATAGTTTAAAACATAATTTTGGTCATCGAAAATTGATATCTTCAAAACTAGACTTTCAATACCATCCTTTTCGAAGATGCTTTAGACACCTTGTTGAATAATCTTTTCATGCAATAAAAATCAGAAAAAGAAGATCATCTTTTGATTAAATAGGTTCGATATTTTGAAAAAAATGTTGACATGGGATCCATATTCATAATTTTTCGAATTGTTCGATCGATATCTTTATCATCATTAGTACTTTACTTGAAAGAAAACATATTGTTTTAAAAAAACACTTTATTTATGCCCAAAAAGTACTCATGGTGAAAGATATGACCGTCTAAAATCACTTGCCATATTGCACATGGTCTTTCTGACTAAAAATTCTACACAAAATCATCTTAAAATCTGTCATTTAGTGTTACACTAAAATCTTAACATTTTGAACTCACTGTTCTTGCTTTTGTGGTCGTCCTATATCAAAATTAATGCAAGGTGTTTTAAACATTTACATTTCAACTTTCTCGGAGCAAGCACCAATTACCATCATTGACGCCCTATGTATATATGCTTAGATATAACTTACGCATCTGGCACATTTGCGGGTGTGTGACGGCACGCATCACTGGCTTCGTTACCGGCAGCAACAACGACTATAACTCCTTTCTTCACCACCTGGGATATAACATGGCTGAGATCATAATCTTCTCTAGGCCACCCTATGGATAAACTGTCACAAGGCAGGGAGATAAGTTTGAAATCAGAGCTGAGTTTGGGATGTCTATATCATTAATACAATGTTCATACGTTGCATCACATGACCTTTTGTTGTTCTCATGCGTAGGTACATATTCTTGAGAAGTATTACTTTTTCTTAAAATGGTTAACATGATATTGCTTATCTATTTTTGTGACCACTTCTCTTTTGTTTGATTAGGAACGTGTCAAGGAAATGTCCTTAACCAAAAACTTCCCCGAATGATTTCGCTTTAAGAATCACTCACTTTATTATTGCCTGTTTAGTACCATTTGCTGCTTTCTTAGCTGCCCATACAATACCAGCACTCAACGATCTACAAATGAGCCATCCACGATCACACGGTATCGTCAATATAAATAACGTTGTTTCCATTGGCCTCGGGAAAAAGTAAGAGTACGCTAATATACAGAGACAGGTCAATAAGCAGGTCCAGAGTTTTTTGAAGTTGCCAGTTGTGACATTTTTTATCTTTTTCTGCTATTTGTTTCAATCTTTGCTTTGTATTCTCTTGTTATGTAATTTTGAAAACAGTGGATATCAGAGATCTATGATTGACAGGCAAGTTATTTATATGGACTGAATAGAACTATGCAATCTGATTGATCTTAACAGGACAAGGGCACAGGACAAGGGCACAAAATGTACTAAGAACATGTGTTCCCTGAGGTATATAACTCGATTATTCATGATAACCATGCAGATATTTTTCGTACTGCATTTATGCTTAGATTTGTAACAACTAAACGCGTCAAAATCTTTGATAGATTCACTCCTTAATTTCAAATCAAAACTTGGCTAGGGACCGCATGGTTCTGGCAGTCACTGTTTTGAAAATTAAAAACTAAAGCAATGAAATCTTTATAGAGATTAAAACATAGATTTAAACCAGCAGAAAGAAAATGCCATGACGGGCAATTTTTCTGATAAATATTGTTTAGTTGACAAGTCTTTTCCTATGAACTACTAGCTTACTTTTACCCCAAACCCATGTGCTGTTTTGTTCCCTCTTAGTCAAAAGGCCATGGCTGATATGTTCATGACTTTATAACAGCCAACCACACCTTATATTTGCTAAATTAAATCCTCATTTTTTAAGAGAAATTTGATGACATCAATATAACGTAGACTTGCGCTAGAATATACCGGTAACCTCGTTTTAATTTAAACTGATGTAATAGTTTGTAGCGCATTTTACTGAATATAAAAAAAGCTTACGACGCGACTGCGTTCCCTCTCTCTGATATTTTTACAGCGATCAATGTAGCATGTCTCGCAACACCAACCGTGCTCCCGGCTGCAATACCTATAAGGCAATAATTTGGGTCCAAATAATCATGGAGGTACATGAGGGAAAAAATAGGAGTCTGAAACTGATACAAAGTGAATACTTAAGAAATTAAGTCATTCAGAAATAAATCCCCAGTAAGAACATATAGATCTCGGCTGGATCGTGTGTCTGTTCCTCATACAAGCTGATTTACACTAAAACAGTACTTATTCAATCAAGCTATGCATATATACAATATTAATAGTATGGCAGTTATCCGTTTTATTGGATGACATCAACTATCTTAACTGTGACTTTTGAAAAAAGTATATGTATCCTATTATTTTGACGCATAGAACTACTTAGCAATGGTATATACTTAAAAACTATGAGGATCTAATATTTTGCTATTGTACACGTGTTTCCATTACCTGCTACATGGGTTCCGTGACCATCTTTATCCATCGGGCTCTCCCTACTGTAAAAGTTCTCTCCCTAAAAGGATATAATGTGCATTCAATTCCATTATACATTTTCATTCATGTTTATATATTCAAAAAGGTCAGAACGTGAATAACAAGCCAACTCGGCAACTCAACAATAGCCAACTCGTTTGAATATGATTATACTTAAATGAGTTGGTACTATTAAGATTTTAAAAAGTTGCCAAAAATATATATCAAGTCGTGAGACGTCAGTCAACAGTAAAATTCGTGAATGCTATATTCAGATATCTTTAGATAATCCAATTATGGACATTTCGAACATAATATGTAAGACATGCAGCTGTCCATTATATGTTCACGATTCCTTCTGGTATAACATCCATTTTACTTGGTTGTGAATGCCTTTTTAACCTATTGCATAAATGGGAGATAATATGAGTCTGATCATAGAAATGGCAAAATAGATCTTCCTGGTAAATTATGTCCAAAATACGGTTTTAATGGATCGAATGATTTATCAAATGCAGTTAAGTTGAAATATAAATGCACGTTGCTATACAAAGATGAAACTTACATAGATAGCTCTTCCTCCAAACTCCGGGTGATTTATATCAATCCCACTATAATTGCAATCAATATCAAATTGTACCAAATGTATAAAATATTTTATAGTTAATGGTTAACAATTGTAAACTTATCATATTTATCATTATATCTCCCTTTACACATTTCAAGAATGAGTAATGATAACGTTTTTACGTATTTTAATAGAAATATCTTAATTACAAATACCTGTCAACGATATAGATGTCAACGTGAGAACCCAGTCCTATAAGAAACGACGTTAAATATTTGTTATACTAGTATGAATATTAGCAGTAATGACTTTCTTGTTATATTCTTAAACAATGATATTGTACTCCTTTTTAGCAATTGTTTAATGAGCCGGTATGCTGATATATCATTACACTGTAAAAATTTACTAACAATGTGATGTACTTGTTAGTTGCCGTAAGTTGAACAAAAGTATGTTCTACTACACGTTAAGATATTGTACATCGTTGCACTTACACTTTTTAACGAACCTTGTGAGGAGTTATAGATGTTATCTAAGATTGGCGACCTCTGGTTTATTCGGTCCAAGTTCTGCAATGTAAAGCGTTTATTCAGCCAATCATGTGATCATATAATAGATACAGCAAATTAATTATTCACAAGTGCCGAGGGGAGAGGACCAAAAGATGTAATGGAATCTGGGCATACTCTAAGTGTATAGTGCATAAGAAAAACAAACCGAATATATCCCAAAACCTGATTTAACGTGAAAAGAAACATGTTTAATATCCCCTTTCCCCCATCATTCAAATGCCAATACCATAATCCAAGACCAGAACGCCAAAGCACATTTCATTTATACTGGAGTCATTACAATACGTGTTGAAGAAAGAATTAGAAATTGATGGCCAATACTTATAACATCAAAAATAACCGTAGATACTTGTAAGCGCCCATACGATACAAGATAGAGCGTTCAGTTTTAAATGATGTGGGACAGAAAAAATCCAGTCTCAACATCCATTCGCAAAGCCGTCATCATAACCCATAAAATTCAATAACTCACAATGGTCGTCAGGAAAAAACTATCCCTATTTCTCGATCATTAATCCCATTAAAAGTGAAAAAATTGTGAGTTCAGTGCCAATGTCTTGAACAATTCCTATAGCTTATACTTAGTAGTATAGCCTATACTTAAGTAGTAAAACTTGAACTTCGAAAATCATTAACATGTATTTTTCACCAGTTTAGATCATTTTTACATGTTGGTCAATCACATGGTTAAGCCGATTAACGTCTGGCTGATATGATGCACTGTACATATATGTATTCGTTTCTTTGAAAGATACATGTTTTATACTTAAAACTTTGTTACAGTATTACCTAAATTACATCGGAGAATGGGACTTTACATTCCGGTTTACATGTATATTGATTTATCCGAAAATACCCATTCACCATCACCACGAGTAGAGTCAAGTTTGGTGTTCGAAGTTCTAGTACGAAAAACGTATTGTGAATAACATTTTCATTATATGAAGTGAGTGAAGCGTATTAATTTTCGGAAGTTTCAAAATAGAATTAAAGTGATAGAATTGATCAAAAGTTTGATCAGGAATGATTCAATACCTATTCATGAAAGTCCATCACTCTAGCCGATTGAAAGAAGGGTGGATTCCCACAGGCTTTCGGTCGGATATTTATAACATTTCAATGTTGCAGTTGTTCGGTTTTTCCCTGCTAGAATGATTATGAATCATACCGATATGTTCATTTTTATCTTAATCACCCGATTCAATGTTTCAACATGTTATCTTCTGCATAAACAAGAATATACACTTTGGAATCGATGTATTGGGGAGATTGAAAGCTCCATTGTGATGTATGTAATTAAATAAAACCACCTACCCAGAGACCTTTTGCTTTTGTGTCTATATTTCTACACGATTCCTCAACTTGGATGATCTGCTGCTCCTCAACTCTTGCCACTATGTCGTAAGAAGTGATTTTGCCGAGGTCGCTGGAATAGTTCTAATCAATTATATAGTCTGAACATAAGGATCAGTACATGTATATATTTAAAAACATGAACATACGATAATTATAGGATAAACATACAAGAACCTACTGTACATTTTTACGTTATATAGTATACTGAGGTTGTTTAAGACTTACCGTTCTCTAAAACATGTGACAACATATGATTTATAGGTTCCTAATGACACAAGAGTTCCTCTTCTTCTTCCGCCAAATTTTCTCTTTCGCGTGCATTTCTTACGAAGGGTCTCAGTTCCGACATGAATTACATCAACCTCTCTGAAGAAGTCCTTTGTTTCCGCAAGATGTCCATCAACTACATATATGATTGAAACAATTGTACATGAGAATATAGGATATTAATTCGATTCAGTTCACGGTGCAGTTGGTGATGCCCCTATAGAAGTACATGTAATATACAACAGCTGTGTGTATGAACTGAATTTCCGATCTATGTTGCTCAGGGGAAAGACTAGTATCTATATTGTTAAACAACGCTGTACGAGTCACGAAGACAAATCCTAATTTCAACTGGGGATGATTCAAGAAGGTTTACTAATACAGTGTGTTTCAAAAAAGGTGCGACCCACATACTTTACAATGCATATCTTTTTAACCAATGAAGGTTGAACAATCTCATTTAGCAGAAGTAAAGGTAGTTCAATAAGTTTCATTAATGAGCTAATATATGACCTATTTGCTGTCCATATAAAGAATGTGGTCCAAATGGCTACCACCTCTCTTCTGACAGACTGGTAAATGTCCTTATCTTTCGTATTATCTATAGTTTGAGCTCTGCAATGGTTCTAGGATTGTTGACATACACACATCTTTCAGGATAAGAAACATATGTTCCAATAAAATCACGTGTGTTGTCATCAACATCACACAAAGTGTGCAAGTCTGTCTTAAGAAAAGTGGTAGAAATTTGAGCCAGGTTCTTTAAATGGCCAGCAAGTAGAACATACACATGCTACAGTGATGAAATTCTGTCAACTTAAAGGACATTGAACGAACTTTAATTCTTTCAAAAAGAGTTGCCATTCTCTTTTTGTTAGAAAGATATGCATTGTTAGGTGGGATGCATTTTTTATGAAACAACCTGTATTTCTCCCTCTCGGCCAACTCCCTTCGATCAACCCACCATCTTATAATGTTCAGCAATATTCATATTTAAATTGAACACAAGTTTTGCTTGGGTAAAAGGTGATGGGCGAGCGTAATTCAACACACTTGTGACATATATAAATGATGTTATATAGAACAAACTAGAAATAACTAAAGTGAATATCAACTTCAACAATTAATTCGTGTGTATCAACATAGCTTCTATACCTAGATAGTCGGATGGAGTTGTGTATTTAATATTACCTTCTTCAGTTGTGGCATTAGGATGAAATGTTACAATGTATTCGCCCTTAACTCTCCTATTTCGTCTCAGATTAGCACGCTTCAGTTTCCTTTGCTCTTTTCCACTCTCTAAAAAACGCATCATTCCAATAAGATGGATCTATTGGCAGTATATCCGTTTGTTGAGTGGGTCGGAATGATCTCCATGCCGCCTACTTGCAAATTATTATGCATATATGATTTTTATTTTTTATCACTTTTTATGAAAAATATTCAATATCTCAATCAGAAAAAGATCTAATCAGCAACCGTTTCTACAAGTATTTAATTTCAGTATCGATGTAATTTTTTATATCTTTTTAATATTCTTAAAGTTCATACTTTATAAACGAAATTACATAATTTCTTATATATATACTCTCTTTTACATGAGAGTATTCACATTTCTGGAAGAATTTACAGAATTTACATATTTATCACTGTAAACAGCTACTATTTGATCATTTTTACAGGTGTTTAGGAGAAAATCTATCGGGAATGGTACCGTACTGTTCCTTGTAATTGTGTTACCTCCAGATATCTTAGATCCTCCCTTTAGCTCTCTTGAGAAATCAATATAAACAAAAGTGATATACATACTTCGATCGCGTTATCCAAAAAGCCAAAATCCAGACCATGTGTTTCTGTATAATATCCTTTTACATACACTGTGGTTATACTTGTAGGACCAATCTCTTTTGCACAAATTAACTTACCTGTAAGCCCTAATACGAGGTAGACAAAAATAATAACAACTAGTGTTATATCACTTCGGACGATCCACATTGTATTTCTATATAACCGTTGGGTACGTTGTTCAACCACGAACTGCTGACATCAAACCGATTCCCGTACCGCGTGTACTGTTGGAGCTTTCATTTCTCATGAGGAAGGCTAACTATGAGTAACAATAGTGTCTTCATAAATACATTCATGACTTTTAATTTGCAATTGCTATCGATAACTAAAACATTTATTTCCGTTCATTCCTTTCTCGATTGTAGACTATGATACACATCATAAAATGTGTATTACGTTATTAACATACAGTCAAAGTGGTACGTTTAAAAGCTGTATGATATCATCTTTGTTGCTAATCTAATTAACAATTCAAATAGAATGTATATTTGCCAGAGCATAGTGTTTTGTCTCAACGTATGTAAATTGATAGATAATGACATCGCGAATGTATTTGCGAATGCAACTTTCGGCCGACTGACCAAATTAATAAATATGAATAGTACCTGCCACTATTCCATTCATATTTAAATGAGTTTGCCATAAAAAGTACGTCAATCCGGAAGCGTGAAGCCGTTAGTTGCATTCGCGAACACAAGATAATTCTTAAGATATTCATGTTCAAGTTATATATGCCTTAACAAATAAAACACCCCCACTAAATGTAATCACAAAACGATAATGAATGATAATTAGGCTTTTTATAGGGAAGATAATAAATGTCTGACATATCTCCTCAAAAGATCGTATTCACCAGGTGCTTCCCGTATATTTATTCTCTTGACATTTTTATTTGCAAAAAAAACATAAATTACATGATTTATACCCTAAACACATTCTACAAAGCCTGGTTATGTAAGGGTACCACACCTACATGATATGACAATGTTGACTCACTTGAATATATCGATGAAGAAAGTAAAAGTACGAGGAATAAAATCTGAAAATTATATACATATTATACAAACATCTGTATGAGGTTTGACGTAGATGTCATGTTACGGATGCAATATGCACCAATCCTTACGCTTAGTGGCACGATCCAAATCATTTAATAGCATTAATATGAGATGTTAGATCCGTTGCTTAATTTCTATTCTTGTTATCATAACTAGATGTCGTCACTAATATATGTTTGTATTGGATTTAACGGGTGACATTATATACTGGTAAGTGTCATATCATATATATACATGTACATAATTTAATTATTGTGCTATTCTCAACTTTACATACAAATACTTAAAGATGCATTAAACCATAGGTTTCTCGCCCAGACAAACAATGATCTATTTTGGAATAGATAAATTATATCAGCCTTTACTGGCGATTTATTTATTAATATAACGCGTGTTAATAGCAATATGAAAGATATACATATGTAGTGATACATGTAGTATGAAACGTCCATAATTTTTTAAGCAATCTTATCAGTCAATTGTGAAAATACATGTATCATGTTGATAAAACGTTCCAAGATCACTACTCTTTCACTCTACTGATATGATAAAATGTTTTTGTTTCCAGGACATCTTCCATTTTACAGGATAAGTGTCTCAAATCGTCAGCCTTTCAACGCTAATCAATTAATTCAGCTATGTCGTTAGCACTTCAAGTAAGTTTACCTGTAATATATACAGGACTTTTCGACACGTATTACATGTTAAATGTGAACCATCTAAATATGATTATAAAATCCTAATCAAGTAACCACTAATTACTACTGTATAAAGGGCTAACATTACAATCAATTTTATAACCTCCTGCAAATAGTTATTACAATGTCTACATTTCAGCCAGCCTGTTCCTGGCATCACCTACATGGTCATTGTTAGCATTATATTCAGTGTCAGGTTCATTAACTAAGTTATCTTCTTCATATTCATCTTCGTCTTGTATTTCCTCTTCCTCTCCTTCGTTTTCTGTTTCGTCATCTCCATTTTCATCTTCATTTCCATATACATCATGATCATCATCATCGATGGTATCTTCATCTAACACTTTGTCAACATTATCGTAGTCTGTTTCACTATCATCATCCCCTAGATTGTCTTCATTTCCCTCATCTCTTGGATTTTCTTTATCGTCCATATCATTTCCTTCATCATCTATTTGATTATTATCCTCATCGTATTTGTCCACTTCCCAGTTGTCTTTGATGTCGCGTAGGTTAGTATCTTGTCCGTTTACTTCTTCATCATTGTTGACATACTGTAGATTGTTAATATTGTTGAATTTGTCATCATTTTCTTCATTGTCATTTACAAGAGCATCTTCCTCTTTGTCTGAGTAATCATCATCATTGACATCATTCATATTATTGATTTCATCTGAGGGCTGTTTTATAGCATTTTGATTCGCCTGATTCTCGGCTAGGTTTTTATTAATAAGTTTACCATGCCACAAAATGTCGTCGTTTGGGTTATTATCATTGTCTAAGTCAGTATAGATATTATCTAAACCTTTGTCATCAAATTCAATATGTTTACCATCAAAGTTCATCATGCGTTCGGCATTCTCTTTTTCCGACAATTGTATGTTGTATTTTTGATCGTGATTACTGATACGATTTATCAATATTGAGTCAGGACGGTTTACATCGATCACTCGCTTATCTTCGTCTGGCAAGCTTTTATGTTCATTCATTTCCATGATATCATCTCCAATTGCATCGTCTGATAAGGACTCTAATTCTTCAAGTTGCAATCCAGGCGCCGGGATTTGAAAATTCGTATCTAACTGATCATTGCCATCAATATTTTTGTCAAACGGGTCATATTCTTTGAGTGGGTCTATAGATTCGTCTTTGTTTTCAGTTATAACTTCTGTTTCAACCAATTTTTGGTTTTGTAGTAAACTATCACGAACCTTATTAGAAATGAAATCTTTGTTCATATGAATTTTTTCTGCTGAGCTATGTTTCCAATATATATCTACTTTTATACTCCATTCTAATGGTCCCCAGACCTCCCATAATTCTTTATTTAACTCCTCATTCGTTATAACTCTATATGGGGTGTATCCCATTGAATGTAAATTATCGATCATAGACTGAACATTACATTTAAGTTTGATTCTTCTCCATTCATCACGACCTAAAGCTATACCTGGCCATTTCATGAAGATATAGGGAATATAGATTTGTTTGAAAAGTTGTTTGGATGTCTGGAGTGCCTCGCATTCGTGACCCTCGATACTGATTTTCAAAATGGCGGATGTAAATGTTACAGGGTCTAAAAGGTCATCCATTGTAACAGCTTGAGCGTTAATGTACTCTATGTTTCTACGCATATTATTGATCTCAACCAGAGTATCTGAATCATGCACTTGTGCCGACCCGATACGATCTTTATCATATCCTAATGAGACATTTTTACGTTTATTTGAAATAACGTTAGAGACTAATTTCACCATATGTTCGTAGCCATTCATCCTAATGCTTTTATGCAGTCTAGCCTGGTTCTCTGGCAAAGGCTCAACAGCAACAACCTTATGACCCATTGCTGCTGCCATAAGGGTATGCATCCCTATATGGGCGCCTACATCTATAAACCCGATGTTAGGATGTCTTCTGAACACTGTTTGCATTACATCAGTAAGATGGTTCTCCCAATGCCCTTTATCTGCAAGCCAGTATGACACTGTCTTATCTACCCATGTGACATAAATACATACGAAGACTGCAGGGTTTGTATTACTTAGTAAGCAGGGGTACCAGGTTGGCATTGGTTTTGATAAGTCATACATATCACAAAGTGGCCTCTGACGCATTCCCTCGGCGTCATAATCCGCTGCCATGAAACCATCAGTTGGCCTCCCCTCTGTGTGAATATCGTAGTCAACATTATTATAGATTCCTTGATACAATCTTAGTTCTTCTATTATGTATTTTTTCGTAAGGTATATAGAGACTACACCAGCAATGAAAATGAGCAAGAGACATATTTTGCGAAACGGTCTGCGTCTCCTGGACGGCGTCGGATATGCATCGTACCCTGTTCTATAGGGGCTGATATATGGCATGTTGGCTATATACTCCTTTTCAAACTGAAATGAAATTAAACCGAATATATAAATAAATTAAAAATATATTGTAACATTGTTTAAATCCGTGTAATTTGATCGCTTAATGTAGTACCATGTGAACAATAATACCAAAACATTGATCGTAAAAATCCTGTCAAATTGAGGGAAATATACTGCAAAAGTTGAAGATGAGCTGGTATCAACAATCTTAGAAAACCATATGTTCTATTACATACTGATTTGTTCCTTATTGATTAAGCCCCCCCCCCCAAAAAAAAAGGTAAAAACATCGTGCAATTGTTATTTACAGAGCTATATGTTTTTAAGAGAACTTGTGCCTGAAAGTGAAGAGTTAGTTCTTCACTGTGAAGTACCGAATGAGTCTAAATGTATAATCGAGAAGTTAAGTAGCTTTAAAGGGGAGGGTGTCATAAGTAACACGATCACATACAAATTCACAAAAATACTTGTAGCTTAACCTCCCTTATACTTATGAGAGATACAATGCTACGTACTCACCCAGGCATCAAAATGAGATCTGTTACCACTATTGTGACGTGTCCTTTCCAAACACAGATCTTTAAGAATAGGCAGATATTCAAAACTCATCAGTGATCATCGCTTTGTTAATTTCTCGTTTGTATAATTCCTAAATCCCTATATCTAGGTCTTTAAACGAAAATCTTCTTTGTATTAACCCACGCGATTAAATTTAAAACAAATGCTAAGTATTAATTAGGATTTTGTTTAGCACTATGCATTGTCATTTCGTTTAAATTGCTACTGTCTGTGTATATGCATTATTGATTCTATTCGATATCATCATTTTTGATCGAAAACAGATTCTGTTAATTTCATTTCATTTTTTCAAAACTAAAATAGACAACAGATGTGCATGTTGTATGTATACACGCGGAACCCCTTAGCGCCAAATAGATATTGCCTATTATGCAGTTTCACGGGTTGAGATCGAAAGATTTGTCCGCTATGGAGCATGCTATTTTTCTTGAAAAACACGAGGAAAACTCAACAATTTGTATGTTTCTTTATACCAAAGGAGATTACAAAGCTTTTTAAGAAACTGGGAAAATCGAACTTCAAACAGAAGTGAAGGTTACCCGCAATTGATATACCAATTGCATTATCTTATTTTTAATTTTGAAAAACTTATTGAAAAGGTCTATTGCATTTCACCGTGCGTCATTCGGTAATAGTCTAGACACCATAGAAAGATTTCGCAACGCACTTATAGCCTATTTATAAATCCCTTATACATAACTTATAAAAATGTGTCGACTTCACCATCATTGTTGTGCTGCTCTATCCATTTATAAAGAGCCGTCACTTACAAAACGTTGCTTTCTAGTGAGTTAAGTAAATACTTATCTCGTTTAGACATAGTTATTGGAGAGAAATATTATGGTGATATTTGGTATGAAGTCATATTTCTACCCGACCCACCTTATAAACAAGGCGTTTGGATGAGAAGATAATTCATATTCGGTGAAAGAACGCTAGAATTGATCGATTAAATATACATTTCTGTACGAATAGGTGAAAGGCAAAATTTCAATTCGCTTAACGGCGACTAATGACGTAGCAGGCAGATATGCTATATCGCATCCTCCTAAGCAGGTATCCAGAATCCGTACCTCCAAAAAAGATATTTTTTGGATTTTGAAGCCCTCTGATCGGAGGATGCCAGCTCGGAGCGGAACGTAAATAGAGATATCCTATATAAGGTTCAGGATATTGGATATCCCGAGGCCAATATAGTATATCTGCCCGAGGGCCTTAGGTCATATTGGCTAAGGTATGGGATTGGCCAAGTATGGGATAAAGTAATGTATCTCATACTTGAGTGGGTTTGGGGTAGATATCACCCGGGAATATATGTCGTATCTGAGGAGCGGGCAGGATATATTGTATATGTCCCGCTCCAGGCCAAATGCGGGCAGATATAATATATCCATCCCGCTCCTGGGAATTTTTCAAAAGTTTAAAAAAGTTTAAATATCAAAAGTTTTAATTTTAAAATTAAAATTTTTTAAGTTTAAATGTTACAATTTCATTGTATTGAACAGAAAGAATAGTACGAAAATGTTAAATATAAATATCTTGTCATTTAAAAAAGGTTGAAAAGGTTGTATCTACCCTAAACCCACTCAAGTATGAGATACACCAGTTATGCACGGTCGGTTTGGATACATGGAATATCCCTCGGGATATTCCCTGTATCCAAAACCTCCCAGTGCATAACCCCTATTTATCCCATACTTGGACGTGTTACGGGTACATAAAGCCGGTTTGTAAAAACTTATATTTTCATATATAATATGAATAATATTCTTTTTGTTCAATACAATGAAATTGTAACATTTAAACTTAAAAAAATTAAATTTTAAAATTAAAGAATTTAAACTTTTGATATTTAAACTTTTTTAAACTTTTGAAAAATTCCCGGGAGCGGGATGGATATATTATATCTGCCCACATTTGGCCTGGAGCGGGACATATACAATATATCCTGCCCGCTCCTCAGATACGATATATATTGCCGGGTTATATCTACCCCAAACCCACTCAAGTATGAGATACAGCTATATATACGCATAAACATAAGTTGTGCTTTCACTTATGAGTGACATCTCTCTATTGAAATGATAGTAAGTATTATAGTTACATTTTTATTTCAGGAAACATACTTATCATCCCAAGTTTCAATTTCCATATTCAATTGCAACAAGAACAACGGCAACGCCAAAGCGTAGCGAATCCCATCGAACAGAAATGGCTGGCATTTTACAAACAAAATATATAGCAAATATCGTAAAATAAAACCCATAAGAAAGGCCACCATTTTCAAAATGGTTGCTCACTAGACAAGTTGTCATCAGCAGAAGTAATATGCTTTTAAGTAGCCACATATAAAATTTAAAAAAAATCGCCCACGCATACATGTAAATGCTGGCCATTTCACTACCCAAAATGTCATAAGACAGTATGCAATCCTTACCAGTATTCACATATCAAATATGAACAAAATCGCTCTATTACTTTTTGAATTATAATAAAAAATTTAAAATAACACACATAAAAATGGTGGCCATTTTTCAAAATGGCCGACTACTCCCTAAAGTTTTATTTGACAATGTGCCATGCTTAAGTATTCACATATCAAATATGAACAAAATCGCTCCAATACTTTTTGAGTTATAGTAAAATACGTTAAAATGGCGGCCATTTTTCAAAATGGCCACCTTCTACCAAAAGTGTCATGAGACAGTGTGCAAGGCTCATAAGTATTCACATATCAAATATGAACAAAATCGCTCTACTACTTTTTGAGTTATAGTAAAAAATGTAAAATAACACACGTAAAAATGGCGGCCATTTTTCAATATGGCCGCCTACTACCCAAAATGTCATTAGACATTGGGCCATGCTTAAAGTATTCACATACCAAATATGAATAAAATCGCTCCACTACTTTTTGACTTACAGTAAAAAATGTTAAAAACACTATAAAAATGGCGGCATTCTGCTATTACAGTTTTATATGCAGTAGCTAAATTACTGTAAAATTGGCACTAAAATGGCCGCCATTTTTAAATGAGCGGCCATTTTGAAAATCGGTTTTCGAGCAGAACTTCTACCCCCATTGGGTATATTTGTACAAAATATGAACGAAATCGGGCTTACGGTATTTGAGTTATTGCCCGGACGGACGGACAGACGGACGGACGGACAGACGTACGTACGCACGGACGGACGGAGGCGTTCCCTATATCCCTTCGAACTTCGTTCGATGGGATAACAATCATTACTTTATTTCAAGGTTAATCAATCATATTGCTGTTTCACCGTAGACACAGCTGTTTATGGTTATATCTGTGTTTATACAATAATAATTGTGAAACTAATAGCATGTATACGTAGGAGGACTCAACTGCTCAACTCCTACATCCATTAATAAATAAATAAATACTGATTATATGCAAACATATTGAATGAAATTAACTCTTGTGTATGTCTATCTTGGATCTTAGAATACAAAGTGGACAGAGGTAACGCGTTTCAGCCAAGGTATAGACACAGAATGGCGGCTTTACGCACGTCTGGAATGGGGAGCTTACTTTTAAGCTACATTCACCTGTTTGTGTATGCGACAGTTATCATGGCATATACCATTCGGTCGAGAACTTTGCATTGGATATCTATGTGCAGCTTCTTGAAATTTCGGAAATCTCGGAAATATATTCTTTGTACACAAAATCAGTCACTTGCTGAAGTTTGACAATCGGGGTATTTTTCAAGCTTCGATTCTCTGTTTTTGACTTTGTCACTGGGCACATGTCTATAAAATCACGTATACAACACGTGAATCTATTTTTCTTCAAAGTGAGCTCGTTGTTTGCCTTCTGTTAACAGATTCTGGGTCGAAAACCAGGCATATTTTAGAAACACTGTCCAGACACCGTGGCAACGCGGGTCCAGACACCATACATATTTGACAAAACGTGAAACTAGGTCACAGCAATGAAGCTGATCTTCCATCTATACACAGTTGCATACATAAAGGGCAAAGGCTATTTTCAGGACAAAAATATCGAAAACGCTCATGATGCAAATGGATTGTTACATCATCAAAGGCCGGTTTTCATCTAACGACTCGTATCAAGTCCAACTTACCATCAATCAGATCACGGTTATTCGGTTAATCTGCTTCTTAAAATTCGGCTGAAGGAACATTCTTTAATGACTTTGTGCTTTAGAATACAGAGAAAGTGGATGTCTAGACTTTGTTACCATATAGTTAATGCAGTGATTGCTGAAAATGACTGTGCCTCGTTTTCGGCTAGTTCAATTCTGTAAGCAGTTTGCAAAAATTTCAATCTAGATTTGTACTGTTCATTTTACATGTGTTAACGTTAAATTTTCTCATAAATTGCGTAATACCCTAAATAGAAATTAGACGATAGCTCAAGAAAATAGGATCGGGAAATCATAATTTGTGTTGATTATTTCTTAACACTGGTCGATGCCTGATCAGAAAATATTATCGATTTATATACTTTGAGGGGTTGTTCACCGAATGTGAAGCATGAGTTTTCAAAAACTTACCTATATTTCGATAAAATAGAGGAATCAGTGGCTCCGATAATCGGAGTTGGCTCCATTTTGGTCTGTAACGCGTTGCAGCCTCGTTTTGAACAGCTACGAGTGGCTGCAGCGCGTTACCTCTGTCCATCTTGGAATAGGCAAGACTTTTGATAGGGGAGGGTGTGACTTAAAACCAATACCTAATATGATCATTGGACTTCTTTTAACCACTTTCCAAAAACCTGCAATAATACTTTTCTGTAAATCTAGAAGACGTAGTTTTCTTGCCTTCATCCTGCCTCACTACACTTCTCCATACTTAAAAATACATAATCAGAAGTGACAAAACTGCAATTAATGTTATTCTTTATAGCCTCCGATATCTTATCTACCAAGCCATTATGCCTTATCGAATGTAATTATTTAAGATTCAAACTGCAAATATTGCAAGTCTTATCTAATAAATGGAGAGATGTGTATAAAAGTTCTAGTTTTCCAGGAAAGAAGTATTTAAAATTGAGCCATATTTGTTAAAAGTGCTTATTAAATTTGAATCTTCGAAAAGAATGGTCTGACTTATTAACCTGGATATTTAACATAAATGCAGAAGCCAACCCGATCTGGATATAATCAATTAAAACTGTGATTCAGTACACTGTATCCATAAATGATGTTGATGAAGAAATAAATTGCAGTTGTCCTGCTAAAGAAAAAAACATTATATTGCATTCATAAAAACCTCAACTTAACATTTGCGGGAGGAGAACAGCTTTAATTATATGCGCTTTAACAACATACCGGTTGAACACGTGTGCTTAATTCATAATTACCATATTATGGTTACTAGTGGTTGAATATAATCAACCGGGATAAAGGAACATGATGCGGATCATCCGCTGTGATAGAACTCTAGCAGGCATTTTCTATCTCGTTATAGTGTTAGGGTTGACAAGTAAGTACCGTATGCGTATTAAAATAATATTAGCCAAGCAGCTACATACTAATATACGACCGTAATTTGAATAAAACATACTTCTTGGTATTCAGCTGCTCTATATCAATCATATGTAATGATTATATCAGCCATTGCTATGTTTTTTCTTACTATTTACATAATGTAATGGAGGAAACAAAATTCGCACTTTTATCCGAAGCAGCTTAATTCATATGCCGCATATCATCTTAATGAATCTCGACTAGCTTTTATCATTAAGTTAATTAGTATTTCCGATTGTTATAATGATGGCGTTAACAGAGTCGGGAGCAAACGTTTTTTTTACTGTTTATTCCAAAGTTGGTATGGTTTTGTTTAATGTTAAAATTTACATTCAATTAAGACTCGAGCGAACTAGATGAGCAAAAGTTGAGACGCGCCAATCTTAAACGTAACAGGAGAATTCAGGATGAATACATCGTCACACTGTCTCCAGATGCAACCGATGCAGAAGGTATTTAATTTAAACAAAACTAATTAACAATAAATATATTAGGTATCAGTTAGTAAATGCTATTAAGATTCTACGAATATTGATCCACCAGAATCTGATTCGGGAGGAGTTATCCGTAATTCTACTAAGTACAACTACCTGTTGCCGACTTATGAAAAACAACATCAAACATTTTTGCAAGAAATATTGCTAAAGCTATGGAATGCATCTAATCAAATTTGATCAAAGTTAGCTTTAACATTTTCTTTAGTGTACATGAATGCAATTATAAAATACCAGGATGTCTAATTGAATTGGTCATATATACGGGTTACTATGGTAACTTGACTTTTTGCTAAGCGGGGTATTTTTACATCCCAATACTATTTAAGAAAAACAACAGAATAGTACTAAAAATTACGAATGGATCACTTACACCTCTTGTATACATGCTATTACCACATGCATTGTCCCAGGAGATGTTCACTCTCCCTTGTGTCTAATGCACAGTCTGTGTTGTTCAAATTGATGATACTGTTCTCTGGAGCCTTTAAGGAAACTTGTTCGAATGGCCAACTGGACTTCTGAAAGTTCTTGCATCGTTCCATCCCTCATCCTGTTCAAAACAACAAAATCAAGGATTGCCTTGTCGTAGAATCTTTACTATCATACACTCTCCAAATCTGATGCATCTTTTTGTTTGGTCTGCCTTCCAAGGACACCGAACAATCAAATGGCAGATCTAATCTGTGAAAGCTTATCCTCATTTGGAATTTCAGTCATCTTGGAATATTTTAAGTTTGATGATGTCTTGAGCATTCATGTGCGATACAAAGTATAGTAGAATCGTGATTGCAATGTCATTTAGCTGTTCTACATTAAGCATTTGTAATTAAACGATAACAAATAAATTGTAAAAGGGAACAAGCCTTCATTTGCGGGCATTGATAGGTTTCTGTATTTTGGTAAATTGTGTGACCCGCCTACAAAATAGCCAAGTTACAACATTCGGCGTTTCTGACCAATCAAAGTGGAGATGCTGATCTTTTACGGATCACTTATCAGTATTTAGATGTCCTGTGAAAATTCATGAAATTATATTAAAAACCTTTGAATTAGAGCATTTTCCGCGAACTTATTGAACGACCTGGTATTCGCCAATAGTGTTTAGATACACAGTATATAAATATATCTTATAACGATATATATATATCGTGCATCAACTCAATCTGGTGAATCTATTAGATGCACAGATGTTGCAGTCTGCAAAAAATAAATTCATACATTAATTATTTCTTATTTTTCTCTGCATATTGCAGTTTCTGATCACCTTAATCGAACTAAAGGCAAATTTCAAGATGTTGATGACGTCCATGTAGGAGATAGAAAGAAGAACAATAAATGCGGTGGAAGGAGAAGAGGACCCCTTATGTCAGTAGGGACATACAAGGCATACGTCATAACATGTTTTAAAGAAAAGTAAGATTTAAGAAAAATAAAAATGAGGATAGTCAGAGGATGCAGTTAGTCAAAGTTAAAACTGCTTCAAAATGATCAATGAAAGTGTGAGATGAGTTTTCTGCTTAAATAGTGTCCCTTTTGTCATATGGTAGGGTTTTAAACTTGTATCTCTAACTGAAAGCTGTTTAAGATCATCCAATGTGTTTCAACAATTTCCGTGAATCACATTGGTAAACTTGTGCACAATATCTATTTTTCAGGCATGTTTGCTAAACTCTTGTAATTTCTTCAAACTTTAAGACTGAGAATAAATTATGGCATCAACCAGACTTTTAGACCATTCTCGACAAAATGTGATAATATGAGTCTATTCATGCAAGTATTAAGGAAAATATAGCCTGTTGCAGGGGTTCCTTTTTTGGACCACCCTGTATTGTTAATGTGCTTGTACTAATGTACAGGATGGGTCAAAAATGGTACACTCGCATATATTCTCTCCAAACAAAAAATATATATTATAGTATAGCAATCACATATTGTGAAATTTAATATGAGTATGAGTATAAGGTTCTAACATGTATGGATGAATGTCAAATTTTTATTTTATAATTCTTTACACGCCACAATACATTTTTATCGTTAACAGCTTAGGCATTCTTCTGCGCAGTAACAATATCAATAGTGTGATTTTTTTATACAGAAACATTTATCGTAAGAATCTCGGAAAAACTAAACAATCTCAAGAATGTCAGCGAGGGTTTCAGGATAGCATAAATAATGTAAATTATGGATGTTTTACAATTGAGAGCTATAGCGGCTCATAAAGATAATCGCCTTGAACGCCTTCTTATGTTGATGAACAAAATCTGATTAGGTAAATTTTGACATCACAATCTTAAACCATGATACATTCTAAAGCATTAATAAACGATGAGGTGGAAAGACCCATTAACCGTCTCATCCTTTGGAATGTTATTTAATCTCACCATTTTAAATGATGCAAAAGTGAACCATTTCCATGACCCATCCGGGCCTGTACATGAACTATTTTCTCTAAGCTTTCACAACTACTGAACTAAAGTTATGTACAACTATATAATAGTGATTGTGAAAGTAACAAATAATTCTTAACTAGATACATTTTAGTAATGACGATTACAGCTAGTAGGTCTTTAAACAAAACATTGATTAGGTAAAACTTGATTATCGAGGTTGGGTAACTCTTAATATGAGAAACTAATAGGTTTGTTATTTCAGGGACCTAGAACTCATCATATCTGACAACATTGTGGCAAAAGTTGAGGAGCAACAGATCATTCGAGTAGATAAATCGTGTACTAATGTAGATACACAATCCAGAGGTCTCTGGGTAGGTCCCCTTATTATAAACGGAACTTGTACCAGAGTAGGTCAGTCGTGTGCTAATGTAGATACACAATCCAGAGGTCTCTGGGTAGGTCCCCTTATTATATACGGCACTTGTACCAGAGTAGGTCAGTCGTGCGCTAATGTAGATACACAATCCAGAGGTCTCTGGGTAGGTCCCCTTATTATATACGGCACTTGTACCAGAGTAGGTCAGTCGTGTGCTAATGTAGATACACAATCCAGAGGTCTCTAGGTAGGTCCCCTTATTATATACGGCACTTGTACCAGAGTAGGTCAGTCGTGTGCTAATGTAGATACACAATCCAGAGGTCTCTGGGTAGGTCCCCTTATTATATACGGCACTTGTACCAGGGTAGATCAGTCGTGTGCTAATGTACATACACAATCCAGAGGTCTCTGGGTAGGTCCCCTTATTATATACGGCACTTGTACCAGAGTAGGCCAGTCGTGCGCTAATGTAGATACACAATCCAGAGGTCTCTGGGTAGGTCCCCTTATTATATACGGAACTTGTACCAGAGTAGGTCAGTCGTGTGCTAATGTACATACACAATCCATAGGTCTCTAGGTAGGTGCCCTTATTATATACGGCACTTGTACCAGAGTAGGTCAGCCGTGTGCTAATGTAGATACACAATCCATAGGTCTCTAGGTAGGTGCCCTTATTATAAACGGAACTTGTACCAGAGTAGACAGTCGTGTGCTAATGTAGATACACAATCCAGAGGTCTCTAGGTAGGTCCCCTTATTATATACGGCACTTGTACCAGAGTAGGTCAGTCGTGCGCTAATGTAGATACACAATCCAGAGGTCTCTGGGTAGGTCCCCTTATTATATACGGCACTTGTACCAGAGTAGGCCAGTCGTGCGCTAATGTAGATACACAATCCAGAGGTCTCTGGGTAGGTCCCCTTATTATATACGGCACTTGTTCAAGAGTAGGTCAGTCGTGCGCTAATGTAGATACACAATCCAGAGGTCTCTGCGTAAGTCCCCTTATTATATACGGCACGTGTACCAGAGTAGGTCAGTCGTGCGCTAATGTAGATACACAATCCAGAGGTCTCTGGGTAGGTCCCCTTATTATATACGGCACTTGTACCAGAGTAGGTCAGTCGTGTGCTAATGTAGATACACAATCCAAAGGTCTCTGCGTAAGTCCCCTTATTATATACGGCACTTGTACCAGAGTAGGTCAGTCGTGCGCTAATGTAGATACACAATCCAGAGGTCTCTGGGTAGGTCCCCTTATTATATACGGCACTTGTACCAGAGTAGGTCAGTCGTGCGCTAATATAGACACACAATCCTAAGGTTTCTGGGTAGGTCCCTTATTATATACGGCACTTGTACCAGAGTAGGTCAGTCGTGTACTCATGTAGATACGCAATCCAAAGGTCTCTGGGTAGGTCCCCTTATTATATACGGCACTTGTGCCAAAGTAGTTCAATCGTGCACTCATATAGCTACGCAATCCAAAGGTCTCTGGGTAGGTCTCCTGCTTATATACGGCACTTGTACAAGAATATATAAATCGTTTATTTATGTAGATACACAATCCTTTGACGGCGATTATCCCACAAATCTTTACCCCTAAATACTTTTAGACTTTTAGACTGGATTTTGTCTGCCCTATATCATTTAAGGGTTATTGTTCCATAATGCATCTTACCACGAACTATTCATATTGTAGTAAATATCTTTTCATTCTATTATTTGACGCTCATATTATATTGTTACCACTTTAGTTTAATGACAGGTGAGGGTGTCAAATATTGTATCTTTGTGTGTTAGTTCATACTTCGAGATTTAAAATGTTCCTATTGTTCCCGCTATAATTTGTAAATCTCTTTAGTATTTTACATTTGGCCTGTGTGCTTACAAAATAAAGAAAAATACTTTCCCAATATAAGAAAAATGTGTTTCGAAGATAATGAGAACATAGAATCATTATATAGTACGTATGTAAGACAGGGTTAAGCAGCTTAAGGACAGTTGAGCTACGTATGTGTGTGTGGGAATACATAAGCACAAATGCCAAAGGGGAAAGAAAGGGTAGGGTGCTTCCTCTGGTGTGTCTGAGCGTTAATATCAGCTGCCTCTAGTCAGATCGACTAACAAAACAACTTTTTTTTGGGGTTGTCGAGTTGGCCGAGAGGGCTTGAGTGCTAGCACGTTGTTTAGGCTATGCGATTGGGGCCGTAACCACGAGGTTGCGAGTTCGAGACGCGTGTGCTCCTTGCGTTTATTCATTGATGCATCATGATTGAAAATTTATTAAACACATCTTGATTTATTAAAATGAAATTCCAAATCTGTTCAAACACAATAAGAAAAGTCCAACGACTCAATATTGGTAGTGTTCTTAGCGATCGTGCAAACATTAAAACGAATAAAAAACGAATGCTGTCATGCTTGATTGAATTTTCCGACGTACGCGCATACCACTAAGAAATGAAAACTTATCTGCACATTGACTTTTCTTGTATACAGGTAATTTACAGTTAATACAAGAGTTCGATATGAGAAATAAATCCATTAACCGGTTAACAAAAATACGCTAACGAAAATTTATTAGATTTCAACACAAATAACAGAACTGAAATGATGGGTTAAATACATTTTATAGCATTTATTTTATATCATAGCTATTGCTCCGTATATGTTTGAAATATGTATTAGTCACTATCATACCTATATGTTCTTTTGCCTTTGCAGAACCTGGACCGCATAAACCAGAAGTCATCAGTCTTGGATAATATCTATAACTCATCCCAAGGTTCGTTAAAAACCTGTAAGTGCAATACTGTGCAATATCCTAATTTTAAAGTTATGGTAGTCAGGAAAAGCTGAAAATTAGTTGGTAGCAAAACCATAATAAAATGAGAATGTAAAAACTTCAACCACGCTTGGGTATATCATAATAAAATGATTAGTAAGGCGATGTATACTTTTATGAACAAAGGCCAATAAAGGCAATTACAGATTGATAATTCCATATAAGTAGTGAGTAAAATTGATTTCTTTAAAAAAAATCTTCTTTTGGTAAAAAGGAGTCACATTAAGAATGAGTTTTAGTACACAATTTTTCATTAGTGAACTATGAGAAACTTTCCTTTAGATTGCTTGGGATATAACTTGTAAAAGATGCAAAGATATTTACCCCAATAGAATGACATATTTGTATAATACTAGTATCGCATCCACATTGATGAAGTTTTGAGATTTCGACATTTTAAGAATGAATATGATTTTATCGAAGAATGGTTTTGTTTGAAATGTGTTTATATCATTTCTGTTATTTTAGGAGTCGGTGTGAATGTTAATATATATATCGTTGACAGGTAACTGTGTACTTTTCTAATATTGCTAATTTTATCGTCTTCCTAACTTTATTTATCACTTTGGTACAATGAGAAACACACGATTCAATGAAGTGACCATTGAAAATACTTTAATGTAATATATGGAGATAAAGAATATATTAAACATGCTTAGAACACTGAAAAAACATTAAACTTTGTTGCTTGAATTGGACGTAAATGTCAAACAATAAAATAACATCGTTAAACGCCCCATACTTGTGAAAGCACAGAAGATGTAGTTTAATAGAAACATTAACTCAATATCTGTAGATCCATTAATGCTTAAATGTGGATCGAAATGATTGCAAGAAACCTCTTAATACGATTTCATATTGCAATATATCCTAGATGTATAAGGTCATAAAACAGTCATAACATGGAAGTAAAAAATTATACTCTCACATAATAAAATCTTCTTCCATTATACTAAGTTCTAACATTAAATTCATATTTACATCTACAAACACAGCCCTTTAGAGACACAAATGTTCTCCCGAATGAGGATTTGTATATATACAATCGGTCATGTGAGCTGTAATACGTTTTGCTTTGAATTTACATATACTTTCTGCTGCCATTTTGTCCCACGATCTAAGTGTGATATGGGTGCCATATTTTAAGCAATGCCAACGTGTCCTTGAATTCTTTCTAAAAAGAGATATGAAATTGGTGTGGAAACACACCTCTAAAGGTTTGCAATATTTAGCATTTTTAAGTGATTTTTCCATTGGCAATATGCTTTGACGGCATTTCAAAAACAATCCCAATATTTAAGTGACGTGAGCTCCCCTAGCTCCCCGATATTCTTTGTATCCAGGTATTTTTGTTTTTAGTGGAATACAAAAAGGACACCCAGAGTTCGGTGGGAGAGCAGAATTTGTAAGTTCAATTTGAGCTTTCCCAACCATTATAAGTTGAAACCTTTGTTTTTCTATCTAACTTCGCTTACTCGTATAAGCGCGTGCCTTTGCTTTCTTTTTATGTGAAGAAGTTCATCTCCTTGCTTATACTTGTTTTTAGGGTGTGAATTGTCTGAACAGTTACGACACTCCTACGGATAAAGATGGCCATGGTACACACGTAGCAGGTTAGCGAAATTTTAAAATATATAAATGTTGTTCGAAGGCCTACTTATTTTAAATCTATGTTGATGTTCATACTGCTGACGTTAACAGAACTTCATTTAATATTTAGGCATTGCAGCTGGACTTACTGTTGGCGTAGCACGAGGTGCCACTTTGATTGCTGTAAAGGTTTCAGAGAACAGCGAAGCAACAACATCGTAAGACAATTGCAACCTATTGTATCCTAACTATTGCATATTATGCTCCGCACAGATGTAATGCGCATGCGCTTTAAGCATGATTTAGAATTCTCCAGAGATGTTTAGATGTGGATTGTGATATTAAAAATGGTGGATGAATTGGAGTCATTTTTGCACATTTTTGTACAGATCTGTGACTGCTGGTATAACATGGGCAGCTAACGATGCAGCAGAACGGAATAAGCCGGCAATACTTAAGTGAGTCCTGGTTTTACAGCATTAAAAATTATACATTCACGACGGTTATTCGATGGCTCGTATTAATACTATCGTGATAACATACTGATCATATATAAATGCTTATTCTGCTGACCAAGATTTACGAATGTATAATAGTTCGTAAATAACCGAAGCATGTGATGCCTGATTAATTCACATTATGACTTCGAATTGTTCATATTTCGTTGCCTTCTGGCAGTTTATCTATAGGGTGGCCTAAAGAAGACCACGATCTTAACCAGTTAATAGCCCAAGTGGTGAAAAAGGGGTTAATTGTCGTAGTTGCTGCCGGAAACGAAGCCAGTGATGCATGTGATTACACGCCGGCTAATGTACCAGACGCGTAAGTCTCAGTCTCGCACAAACGAGATTTAGAATTGATTTTAAAATCCCGAATTCCAACAGCTTTTGTTTATAGAAGACATTTAAGGTGTTAAGCCCTAGACTAATTAGTGCATTGTTTGCTGAATCATACCATGAAGGTCTTGTTCAAATCTTTGCATGGCCGCACAGCGGGAATGCAATGTTTAGGAAACAACGCCTGAGTGGAATGAAGCAGCTACAATGCATATTTGGCTTAAATTATTTTCACACATTGCAAAATATTTTCCATAAAATCATCTAAAGGAACAAAATCACGAAAAGAAGACATTTTCAATGAGATTTTTTGCAAGAGTCAAGTTGGCAAGTTATCAGATCCAATGTGAAAAGTCCATTCATAACCATGACAAATGTTTAACTAGTGGCCTTGAGTGCGATTATTTCATGCACGGCTGTCATGTGAAATATTGATTGGCTGGAATCAAACACACCTTTCCTAGCTATGAGTGAATAGACAATTATGGTCGATATGTCTTAAACAAAACATTTCTTCAAACGGAATTATTTATCAAACTGAAATAAATGTTTTGGCTCATATTTATATGGCCATATACTAGTATATTTCAAATAGGTTACGTTGTATGTTTAACTTAGGATAACTGTAGCATCGAGTACGAAATATGATGAGTTAGCAGCATCTTCAAATACGGGCATGTGTGTCGATATTATTGCCCCGGTAAGTATTATAGTTTAGTACCTTGTCCTGAGACAATACCACTAATAATTTTGAAAAATGCGTTCTCCATCCATTGACCACGAATTACACACAAAAGATGTCGTTGAAGAAAAGTCAAGGATTGTATAATTAACCATATGTCTTTGATTGAGAATACCAAATATTTGTCCAAAGTGTATTGTTCAATTGTTTTTCTCCTATTTTAGGGTGAAAAGGTTCTTTGCCCAGATCTACATGGGTACACCATTCATTCAGGTAAAATTTCATAAATGAAAGGTCAATTGCCATATTCTGATTCTGGATGTGGGATACTCAATTATCATCTAACTAGTAACACCTGTCTAAACGGTGCTCGAAGCGAGACTGACATTCCTTTCACCCGGATAGTATAATGTCGATTATTCCTCATTGTGGCTGATTAGAGGTACGGAGCATGATAAGCACTCTTTTGTTATGGAATAAAACAATCTAGATGTACATCGCTTGTATTACAGACAAACACAGCAAAAAATGTGTACGAATACAACGAATCCTGACGTCAGGATACATACAGGATATGCACCCAGTGTGCCAAACCTGTATGAATCCTGATGCCTGGATACATACAGGATTGGCACCGAATGTACATATCCTGTACATATCCTGTGTCAGGATTTATACAGGATTGGCGCGTGTAGGAATCCAGTATGAATCCTACATCTGGATTCATACAGGATACGTTCGCAGTGTGCCAATCCTGTATGAATCCTGATGCCTGGATACATACAGGATTGGCACAAAATGTACATATCCTGTACATATCCCGTGTCAGGATTTATACAGGATTTGCGAATGTAGGAATCCAGTATAAATCCTGCCCCTGGATTCGAACAGGATACGCTCGCAGTGTGCCAATCCTGTATGAATCCTGACGCCTGGATACATACAGGATTGGCACACAATGTACATATCCTGTACGTATCCAGGAGTCAGGATTTATACAGGATTGGAGCATAGAAATCCAGTATGAATCCTGCCTCCTGGATTCATACAGGATACGCTCGCAGTGTGCCAATCCTGTATGAATCCTGACGCCTGGATACATACAGGATTGGCACACTGTGTGCATATCCCGGATTACATATCCTGCACATAATTTACAAATTATTGATTGCTATTGTTACTAAAATTTATTACAAAATCCATGTTAATTTGATAAAAAAACAATATTTCAATTTTTTCAATCAAACAAATAATCTACTTTCAAAAGTACCTGTATTAGTATCCAAAAGTGAATTTCATTAAGATTAGAATGAACATTTTGCCATTATTCACAATTATTTTTTCCCTGGACTATTGTGATTTGATATTTGATGCTTAAGAAGCTATAGAAGACAAATGGTATATATAAATAGCAATATGACATACTTTTAAAGAGCCTAATGTCTGCAACCTTTTTATAACAGACTTTCAATTAAAGATAACACATAGTCGCAATGGTGGAGGGATTTGGATATTTGGAATTCCCTCGGCGATTTATCATTACTTATCTGTTTTTCAATATTGTTGGTGTTTTGCAACCCTTTAATATTCAATTAGCGCTTCAAAAAAGTATTGTTTTTCAAAAGGTAGGTCAAAAGGGTCAAATCGAGGTCAACATGACATTTTGTGATAAATTGTTAATGTGCGAAAGTACGAAATACGTAGTACTGGTATGTTCCAGGCGTGACGAGGCTGTTTTATTAATGTTCTACGAATCTAGATTTTATATCACTTGAAACAATGCATAGCCCTTGGTGAGAGGGGGGGGGGATTACAGACATCTAACATAGCGTTTTAGTTATGTATAATCATTAATCAAAACAAATGAAATAATACCAATTAGTCCACCTTTCTGATTACATTTTGTCCATGTATTTCTGGACTTATTTACTTATGATTTAGCCAATATGATACAACAACAAATTAACTTCACTTGCGTCAGCCCTTCATCTCCATGCAAATATAATTGTATTCATGTTCGACGGGGAATAAGAATTTGTTTACCCGGTGTAAAAGAAATTATGGTCCCATGGGGATTATGGTCCCCTTTCCTTACGGCTCTTACTGGCCCTGGCTGTGTATAAATAATAAGGAAAATAATTGTAATTAGGGCACCATATAAATCAATAGAGAGTAGGACCAAACTTTGATAGGACCACCTACCCTTTTACACCGGCACCCCTGATCATTATCAAGCCCCCTCTAGATATCAGGTCCGTCACAGGCACGTAACCAGGGGGGTTCGAGGGGTTCGATTTACCCCCCCCCCCCCCCGGCAAATAAAATCTTTCAAAATCATGCGGTTTTTCACCATTCTGAACACTTTTTAAGTGATTTCGGCCATTTTTGGACCAACATTGGCACAAGTAACCCCCCCCCCCCCCCTTGGAATTTTTCAAGAAGTGAACCTCCCATGGCAAATCCTGGCTACTGGCCTGCGTCATACTGTATGGCTAAAACTCCGGGCTTTCGCTAGAGAGGCGTGCCTCAGAATACCCATGACCCGGAGGTTAACTTAAAAGTAACGCAAGGTAGATAAAACTGTATTTAAGGGAAAAGAACTACTGTACAGTGGGCCCTGGCTTAGTCAAAATAATGTACATTTATCGTTTACTCTGGAGTTCAGATGGTAAAAGAAGCAACAGATGAACTCTCTTCTTTTGATAAGCTAAAACTATTGAAAGGATAATTGCTATTGTTATCCCAACGAACGAAGTTCGGTAGGGATATAGTGAAGCCCTCCGTCCGTCCGTCCGTCAGTCCGTCAGTCCGTCAGTCTGTCAGTCAGTCCGTCCGTCCGTCCGTCCGGAAGATAACTCAAATACTAGTGGACGGATTTTCTTTATATTTAGTGGAAAGATGTATATTGATGGCCGCCGCTTTAAAAATGACGGGACTTTTTCGCAAAAATCATAAATTTTTCATTCTAAACCAAAGTAATTAATATTATTGTTTGAAATTCTGGTAGTATATTCGCAACATCTATCTATTTCACATATATTCCGTGTTTTTCATCCTGACCCCCAGGGGCCATGTATGGGGGTCAGGAAAACAGAAATTTTCGCTAATTTTTAGATCTTTCTGAAGTATAGCTTTATTATACTCAAATGAAAGGCAATTAAGAGTAGATTGCAAATATTGTATCTTTTTTCTGATTCGAGCCTCGTAAAATTGAAAATGGCCGTCTAATGTAGCCTTACGATTTCGCAATAATTTTTCGATCCCTTCAAAGTATGGCTATATTATACTCAAATTGAAGGAATTTTGGAGTAGATCACAATTATGGTATTATTTTTCAGATTTGTACCTCAGAAAATTCAAAATGGCTGCTTTGCAGGAATTCGCAATTCTAAAATCTAAATTTTTCAATTTTAACCAAAGTAATGAGTATAATTGATTGGAATTCGGTAATTGATATTTTGTTCGTTGGGATTTGCTACTCCGCGGAGTTGCCATTATCTAGTTATAATCGCTATTACCAGTGAAAATTCAAATTCACTAATGATGATTGATAATTTAGCTACAAGCCCCGCCATGAGTGTGTGAATTTTGGCTGAAATAGAGGGGGGGGGGTAGTCTGGAGGCAAGATTTTTTGATTGCATATACCGTACTTGTTTTCAGGCATCATACTATTTCCATGAGTGAGTGTCAAATTTTAAGACTCATTTTCCTTCTTTTCCTTCCCATGCGAATTTCAAATACAATTTGCAAATGCATCCTAAAATCTGATTTCCCCTCCTCCAATGTGTTGCCTGTCTACTATTATTACAAATGCGCAAGGGAAACAGTTTAAATGGAATGAAATGTATCTCAAATCAGTCTCAAATGCTATGGCCGATAGTCTCAAATGCTATGGCCGATATAATTATTTGGGTGACTCTGACCTAGACCGTGCTTTTGTGTATCAGTTGGAAGACTTTGGTTTGTCTCGTTTTCGTCGACTGGTGCCTAAATGCATTTGTAGACGCAACGCACATTCCAGGGCGCACATTTCAGTAATATGTCATTTATGAAAAAATTGAATTGAAAGGCATCACATGGAGTGGAGGGGGGGGAGTTATCATGATCAGAGTTGTGGCTAATACTTATTGTTAAGAATAAGATATGTCTGAAAACAAATATAATATATATTGTTCCTGAATATGCTATACCTGTAATATCAAAGTAAATTGGATTATTTATATACATGTCGTCTAGTTCGGATGTTATTTTAACAAATACAGCAATCAGACGGCGTATTCGCAATGTAACTTATGATATCAGTTCTCACATTTTTAAAGCCATGGGAAAATGAAATCTGAAATAAAAATGCTTTTTCTAGCATCTTGACTCAGAGTAAATTATATTTTGAAAATGGTTTTGACTCATAATCTTTAAGTGTACATACTTAATGGCGACAATGACATACATGTACATATGCATCACGCGAGGATGGATGATGAACATGTACTTTACATCTGCACGTTGTCAATATCTATATCGGCGGTTGATGTCTCATGTTCCCAAAATAATTATAGTGATAATGTTCAAAAACAGAATATGATGTGTATTGTTGTCTTGCATCACTATAGGAGTAATAATTTGATTAGAAACCTGGAATTAGAATAACTCTCCGAATTTGAATCATATATTTGAAATCGAAGAATACAATGCCTCGGGTACAATGCCCCGTGTATTCTCAATCCTGATTATCTATCAATGTCTCCAGTGAGTTTGCTTCTGTGTGCCTCTCCAAGTAACAAATCTATCACATTACACATACCAATGTGGGCCCGGGACTTGAAAAACAGACGTAGACTTCGACAGTGCAAGGGGGAGGGGGACTATAATGTAGTAACTTTTGGTTTTGTCAAATAGCTGAAATAGTTTGTCACAAATTAGAGGCAGGTTTAAGAAATGAGACTAGAGGCAAAGAATAATTATATTCATAAAATCTAAAGTAATTCCTCGATGATCTCTTCAGTAATCAAGGTGGTACACTTCCGCAGTTATAAAAACAAAGACATAGACTAAGTACCAGGTCGTTCAATAAGTTCTCATAATTTTGCTCTCATTTTAAGAGTTTTTTATATTTTTCCATGAAAATTTCACAGACGATGCAGAATGTATCTGTGTAACAACTCTGCAAAGATTATGTATTAATTCTAATGGTTGTGGAAATGGCGGTTGCTATAGTAACGTCAAAAATCGGTAGGCGGGGCAACTTTATTTGATCGTAAAATCCATGGATGTAGTTAGATTTCATCTTGAAATGTCATATGTTTTATCTGAAAGATTTGCAACCATAGAAACAGGTTTTGACATCAGTGTGAAAGATGCAACTTTTCTGAGTATAGTTATTACTGTGACATCACATAAAAAGGTATGACATCACAGAAAAGGTTTCAATAGAGAGACCCAAGATGGCAGCTGACTGTGGTCTTGTGAAAAGTCAAGATGAAATTCAAATTCAAATCCGTAGTGTGATAAGATTTTGTGTGTTATCCAAGAAATCAAGAGGAGAAACAATAAAAGCAGTTCAAGATATTTATGGAAAGGAGTTAATGAGCAAACCTACCATATACCAATGGTATCAAAGGTTTGGTTCAGAGGGAAGAAAATCTGTGATGGATGAAAAACGGACTGGCAGACCGGTAAAAGTCACCAACCCAAAGGCTGTTGAAAGAGTTAAGACAGTTCTAGATGATGATCGCCGCATCTCTGTACGGGAACTTAGTGAGAATGTGAACATTAGTATAGGTAGAACACACTTCATTCTGAAAGAGAAGCTTAAAATGAACCTCATGTGTGCTAAATGGGTGCCAAAGGAGTTAACTAGTGACCAGAGAGCCCGCAGAGTTGAGGTTTCCCAAGAATTTCTAAGACGATACCAAGATGAAGGGGATAGTTTTCTTCAACGAATTATCACATGCGACGAGGTGTACGTCAGCTATTATGAGCCCCTTGGGAAGAGAGCATCAAGTGGTTGGAGAACTAAGAACTCACCTACTCCCATTTCAACCCTGGCAAAACTGACCAAAAATGACGGCAAGGTGATGTTCATTGTGTTTTTGGATAGCTCTGGGGTGCTGCTTACGCATGAAATTCCTGATGGTCAGAGAATAAACAAGGACTATTATGCAATGGTAAGCTTATTCATTATTAATAAATTAATCAATATAAGAGTAAAAACATTAAATCAAATCAAATTTAAAATCAGATTTGAACTATAAAAATGGTTAAGTACAAATGTTAAAGGCATTAGTATCCTATCCTACTGACTATTTCAGGTTCTCAAGAGGCATCTCAAACGGGCCTTCTCAAAGAAACGCCCCCTCCTAGAGTTGGCGACAAGAATATTTCATCAGGATAATGCCCCGTGTCACCGGGCAGAACTTGTACTGAACACCATAGGAGAACTCGGAATGGAAGTTCTCCCACAGGCACCATATTCACCTGATGAAGCCCCATGCGACTTTGGCGTGTTTGGCCGAATGAAAGATGAGCTGAGAGGTTTTCGATTTGCATCGACAGAAGATTTGCAGAATGCAGTCCAAAATGCTCTCAGAGCTAGATTTCCTGATGGATTCCATAAAATCTTCCAGGATTGGGTAGAACGTCATCGAAAGTGTGTCGCATCCAATGGACATTATTTTGAGCATTTAAAGTAGGAATAGAAACATTTACCCCATACTATTTCATGGGATAAATGGGACTACATGACATTAAAACACTTGTTACTCTCCACAATGTTGAACTGAATTATATGCCACTATGACGTCAAATAATCTGCCCCGCCTACCCATTTTTCATGTTACTATAACAACCGCCATTTTCACGACCATTAGAATTAAAACTTAATTTTTGCGGGGTTGTTACACAGATACATTCTGCATCGTCTGTGAAATTTTCATGGAAAAATATAAAAAACTCTTAAAATGAGAGCAAAATTATGAGAACTTATTGAACGACCTGGTAATTAATCTTTTGTTATCATTTAATATTAGTTACTTACAGCATTAATTTGTCTTGGATTTCCAAGGTATAATGTTTTGATTGAAAATCAAACTGGGAAACGAGTATGCTCCTTACAGATGTGTATATCAAATCCTGTGAAGAGAATCAATTCAAACTCACCACCCCCCCCCCCCCATCTAGTGTCTCTTAATTACAATTATTTCGCAAATGAAACAACCCAAAAATGTTGATATGTCAACATAATTTTGCAGAACTGAGCGAAACGAAAGGTGGAACAAATCAGATTAAATATTCTATTCTGGATAGCACAAAAGGCAACAGTTGAAACAAAACTATTCACGATCCTACAACAGATAGCCGTTTGCGAATTCTGCTTTATGGTCCGCTTCTATTGTGCCCCCATTGTCCCTGTTTGAGATACATGCTACAAGGAAAGGAGACGCTACAGTAGAAGAATAGTAAATCCAAAATTGAGATCATATTTCATAGTCTTAACATTTAATACTTTCAAATATGTCAAATATTTAAACCCTGGGCATTTTAACATTTTGCATATTCGTCATCAAATCTGATCATATACGTACCCCCCCCCCCCCCATCTGCAATCATGATAGAAATCTGACTTCCGGTCTCAAAACTGAAAAATAAAATTATCGATACCCTAACCAATTGACCAACCGACTGAACCACCCCCGGGGAACCACCTACCCATCGATCGACTAATCAAGCAAACTACAAAACATCCAAGCAACCAACTTTCAAAGGAAGCGACCAACTTTGCAATCACCAGTCAACAGAAGGCAAGAAACTGACCAAGCAAAAACAAAGCAAGCAACCAAGCAAGTGTGCAACCATATAAGCAACAAACAAAGCGAGGAACCAAGCAAGCAGCTAATTAAGTAAATATACATGGAAATACACGTAAGAAAGCATATGAACAACAAAAAAATCCAAGTTGAGGCTGATATGGACATCAACTGCACACATTTGATTAATTTAATGCAACTTCCAAGTTCAAAATGAAGCACAAAGGTTGACATTTGAGAACATAACTGATACCAAAAGGACGCGTGAAGACAAAGCTACATTTTCTAATTCTAGATGCTCTTACTGGGTAATACTTTTCAGGGTTACTTAAAGAGAGAATCAGATCTACCGAGCAAGCCAAAACGTTTCAATATGTCTGGCTTATATCACTCATTGCCATGTCTAAAAATCTCCAAAGTATCTTTATATGCAATACATAATATCCCCTACAACCAAGCTCCGCATTCTAGCACTCGGATACTTGGTTGATTGACAATATTGACTTACACGATATGTACATATATGTAATGGCTAAACTGAAGTGACGATCAACTCCCTATCCCCGGGGCCCCTATCCCAGGTGCCCCAAATGTACTAGATCCATGGGCATTCGATAGATATTATTGAAAGTCCATGCTAGATCTTAAATACACATTTTTTGGTAAATTAGATCCACTTGCTTCCCACATCAGATTTCTATTAATCACTCATTTCTTGAAACGGTCCTATTTCAATTCTTTCCGGCCTAGGGAAAACCTTTTAAGACGAATATATGTAACTGTTGATATTTTGCTCTTACACATATCAATTTTAAATTCAAGGTACAGAAAAACCAGTCGACGTTTTTTCGAAAAGGTAGAACTGTATATTACACGTCGCACGAAACTGGGGACAATTAGCGTAACATTATGGCGTCAAAAAACCAAAACAAAACAATGAGCAGTATAGGGCGCAAACATCCTTACAACGTCAAAAACGACAAGCGTCACATTTTTTCAAGTTTACTCAACCTAAGAATAAAATACTTTATCCTTATCTGATCATTACAAAATTCACAAGATAGCAAGATCTCGAGGACAATATTTTTAAAATGTTTTTGAATTTTGAAAAACGGTCAAGAATCCAAAACCCGGATCTAAAACAATATCTTATTGTCATTAATTTATTGTCCAGTTCTACCTTTGATATTAATGCCAAATTCTGTTGTTTGTTAGCAACATGATGAGGATTGATTTCTATATGGCAGGTTACTTTGATTTTAAAGGCCTATGGTAATATTTTTACATCAAATTTTAGTTGTTTATCTGTGATATCTAAAATGAAGAATTAAAAATAGTACTTCATAAAACCTAATGCATAGACTGCAATCAAGGCCCGGAATCGAGGTCCCTTGAATATCATACCCGTGAAAAACCAAAAATGCAATCAAACAAGTATATACTAGTATTGTGTGGTTAAGATCAATGATCAAGGAAACCCATTCGTGGGATTCATACTTATTGTTGATTTTTTTGTTTACAAGAAAAGGTTTCGTACGAGTTTTGATATTGTCCTTCGTAATAAAACCCATATTGAGTCCCTACCAGTAAATAACCACTATACTGTACGTACATTTGCAACATATGGCCGCCATAGAATATTTGGGAGTCTAGGCAAGATACATGTACCAATTGTCCCATCCTTTCATCATCAATCCCTTGATCGATTTATAATAGTGAGCTTAAACCGGATTAAACCATCTCCCTCAAACTTATACAAATCCTGACTTAGAGTACGTAAAGGATTGGTACACTGTGTGCATATATTTGTATCCTGGCGTCAGGATGCATACATGACTCGCGCACAGCGAGCCTATCCTGTGTGAATCTTGACTCAGGATACGTACAGGATTAGCACACTGTGCATATCCTGTATGAATCTAGGCATCAGGATTCATACAGGATTGGCACACTGCAAGCGTATCCTGTATGAATCCAGGAGGCAGGATTCATACTGGATTCCTACACGCGCCAATCCTGTATAAATCCTGATACAGGATATGTTCAGGATATGCACACAGTGTACCAATCCTGTATGTATCCAGGTGTCAGGATTCATACAGGATTCGCTCACAGCGAGCATATCCTGTATGAATCTTGACTCAGGATACGTACAGGATTGCCACACCGTGTGCATATCTTGTATGAATCCAGGCGTCAGGATTTATACCGGTTTGGCACACTGCGTGCATATCCTGTATGAATCCTGATGTCAGGATTCATTGTATTCATACGCATTTTTTGCTGTGAAATGAAATTGCATAGGCTACTAATGATAGAAATAATATACATCAAAAGATGACACTGTAAATGAGGTGCGAGTTGCTTTATTACCGCCATCTTTTCTATTATTGATAGTATATCTTAATTTCGTTCCGTCCATCTCTTTCAGGTACATCGTTTGCAACACCTCTTGTGGTAGGTACAGGTTTTTGATAATATCAGCTTTCGTTTGATATCGAGGACTCTTGCATTTATAAAGTTTGGTCGTGCGTCTGAATGTAATACATTTTCGGAATTACTCTGAATATATTAATGTTGTTACATATTATATTTTACATATTGTACTTACAGAGTGGAGTTATCGCGGCAAACCTAAATGGTTCACATAACTTAGGTAACCCATCACCATATGTTGTGGCTAACTGGCTCGAGGAAGGAATGCTGTAAGTTAATATATCAAAAGAAAAATTGAGAAAGCTCAGAAATGGGTCATTTCTGGTTAAAAACCGTTCCACATTTCCTCACATTCAGAAACATGCAAAATAGTCAATTTGCGGTACCGACTACGTAATACCTTTAGGTCTCCGTGGCTGAGTATTAAGACTATTTAACATAGAGACCCAATAAGATTGAAATACTAAGATAACAACAACGTCAAGGCTTAGCAAATCCCACCAAACAGACAAGGTTGCCATTTTTACAAATCTCTCATCTACTTTTTCAGTTATAGTAAAAAATCTTTGAATAACACGCATAAATATGACGGTCATATTTCAAAATAGCCGCCTACTAGGCAAGGTATCATAAGACAGTGTCACATGCTTTTGAATATCCGTATATCAAATAACATCAGCAAAATTTCGTTCATAGCTTGTATCGGCTGTCATTTTTCAAGATGACCATGTTTTTTAGATATATAGATTTTCAACTTAATCATTATCTTATACAATATTTTGCATAAAACAAATTGATATTACAGTTTTATATGTTGTAACTAAAAACTGTAAAATTCTCACTAAAATGGCGGCCATTTTGAAACCAACGAAAATTTTGAAAAGCTAAAATCGATCAGAACTTGTACTCCCATGGGATCATACGAGTGGTGATCAATAAGTAATGGACGCTTTTCTACACAGATACTTTTTATAGACCAATCCCTTTGATTTTCCTACCAGTGATATATCATTCAATTATCTATCAATTCAGAAGATTTGAAGACAAAATATATAATACATGTTGATCTATCCTTATTTCCGTGAAGGAGGTACAGGTACCCCGGGACCGACATTTACGTCACATATTCAGTTTTTAGCCAGTTTGGCAAATTTCAGTTACATTTAAACTTTTTTATATGCAACAAGTGTTGTGTTTGAAATATTTTGCTGACTGGTTACACGTGAACAGTAAGTGATGTGATGTCAGAGTGTTGTATGGTCGGGGTTTGCAGGTCAATTTGAGGAAGCATTGTGGAAGAAGGGGTCGGTGAGAGAAGGAAACACCCCACTCCATATGGACAATGCACCTGCCCACATATCTCAAAATGTTCAGAAAACAATATCCCTGGACCTCAAAATTGAGCCCTTGGCCAATGCACCATATTATCCAGGTGACTTATTTTTTCCTATACTGCTTATTTCTATAGAGAAGGGGCGCAGGTTTATTGACATTGATGGAATAAAACAACCCGTGCAACTGCATCTTGCTACCATGTCAGAGAATGGATTCAGCCTTGTCTCACAATCTTGAATTAAGAGGATGAGGAATTGTGTACATGTAGCACTTGATGGAACCTAGAGGGCCCTGTAGAATAAATGTGGCATTAACACCACATAGTGATGATAAAATATGCAAAATCAACTATGGCATAACAGAATGGGGTAATTCATGACCATAATGGTTTGTTTTGTTCAGCCTGCATTCAACTGCATTGCATGTTAAACAAGCTAATTTAATAACTTCAGAATGTTTGACGTAAATGTCGGTCCCGGGGTACCTATACCTCCTTCACGGAAATAAAGATATATCACAATATATAACATGTTTTGTTTTCAAATCTTCAGAGTTGATAGATAATTGAATGATGTATCACTGGTAAGAAGGTATCGGTCTATAAAAAGCATCCGTGTAAAAAAGCGTCCATTTTTTATTGATCATTCCTCGTATTAGGGTGTTTTTCAAGAGTGTTCTCAAACCACAACGGCCCTTTGACACGGGGTTACAAATTGTGCTGGTAGTTCACTGATTTTTTTCGTTCGATGGGATAGGATATAACCCAACAGTCATCAGATAAACATAAACTTTGGTGGACCATTTGAAAATATTATTTTGGTCGGCTTCCCAATACTGCAAAAGTATGCAGTATGTAATTAACAATGTGCTTTACACGGAAACAAAACTGATACAACCTTTATTCCATACTTTGATGTATTCAGTCTGATAATTTTCTAATTTTGTATACTGAACAAATTAATTATTTTAAATTCGCTCCAGTGTGTTAACTACTCGGCCAATATAACATTTCTTTCCTTCATACCTCAGGCTTAGCTAATCCTAATATCTTGCAACTTACTATTACTCGGTCCTGTAATTTTTACAATATAATACTTTCAGTGATGGCGTTGTTGATGTCAAGGCCACGGGTACTGCAAATATACTTCTCTTTGGAGAACCATGTTATGACTGATAGGACGTTATAAGGCAATAATCTTAGATTGCCACATCTACATACATCTAAGAAGAGTTCGTCACATGAATTTGTGTGTAGATCAGTGATTCAGGAAATATAAAACATGATTCTGAAATTAATGTTAACATGTCATGCTGAGCCCAAAAAAAGCAAATAAGCTTAGCTTTAACTGAATGAATAGAAATGTATATGTTAGCCCTTCAAAACATAATCGAAATATGAAGTCATCGAATAACTCAAACGACCAACCCTTCGAGATGAATCTATGGAACAAGCAATCAACGTATGTAGCGTCATAAAAGTTATTTTAGATGTGTTATGTAAATATAAAAATGTGTAGAAACAATATTTTTTCTCAAAGTATTTTCCTAGAAATGATTATAAAACCAATTTCATAACTACATACAGAAAAATGAGAGTTATGTTATGGCAGGTTGTGGATATGGGGTATATTCTGGGGAAATGTAGATATCTTTCCGAGGGCCCGTATGGTCCGAGGTAAGATATCATATTTCCCGAGGAATATACCAAGTGTTGAATCAGAGCATCACATAACTAATTTATCTTATTATATAACCAATATGTAACACTAATCCTGATTGGTCAATACCTAGTCACGTGTTCCGAAATAGATTTACTATTTCCCTCGGAAAGTTATATTCCCTCAAATGTGACGTCAGCGGGAATATACATTTGAACTATTGCCCGCTGACGTCACGATTGCAACTTCTATTACCCTTGGAAACGTCTGCGCAACATCAATGCGCAGACGAAAAACAGAAAAATGGAGGATGAGCACAAACACAAATCAACTCCGTTCACCATGACAGACGTGCGTGAACGATACAATATAAGCAAGGTGGATAAAATTCCCTAAACTCAATACGTCTGTGTAATTTCAAGTGTTATGATAATCTATTCCGCGTGTTAAATGCGATTGAATTTGTAAAGTGAGAGTCTCAGAGGCAAAAATTTCTGTTGAGCATCTGATGACGTCACAGCTTATAATGCTAACAATGGACCCGGGGAGGGGGCTTTCTAAGCCCTTTTGGCCTTCGCAGAGGAAACGGGACAAGAGTCAGTATAGGGTATATAATAAAACAAATAGTGACTGCCTAATTTCGAGCAATAGTGTAAATGATTTCCCCTTGGGAATATCCTCTACAATGTACTATTCCTTCAGCCTGCGGCTTCGGGAATAGTACATTGTAGAGGATATTCCCTCGGGGAAATAACTTACACTATTGCCCTCAATGGCAGTCACTATTTGTATACTATGACATGTGAGAATTCACAAGTGAGGTTTTCAGGACAACCATATCCAGCTTTGTTTTCTTAGTCTTATCGTTCTCATTATTTCGAGAAATCAATCAAGATTTTCGTCAAGAAATATGAGGGACCCCTTACACTGGCGGATCCGGAAACTAATGAGAGGGGCATATTTCAAATCCGGAAAGAAATGTCCGCACTTGCGCAAAAAAATGTTGAGCCATTAAAACCAAAACTTGGGCCCAAATTGTGAAAATTTAAATCCCAATTTTAGATAATTCGGCCTAAAAGGGCCAATGCCAAAAAGGCCCACCAATTGAGGCCCTTCTAATTTTTTGGGCCATGAAAAATGTCTGGGGCAACCAAAGGGTGGGGTATGCACCTCTCGGATCCGCCAGTGCCTAATGTCATATACCTTATGTCATATTGTTAGAATGTTAGTTGACAAGACCTACTTTTTACAAAATGATATATCCTAAGGGACTTACACATGGTACCTATGGACATTGATTCAATTGGCGTTTTTTAAATGGCGGGAATCACGCACACGTCATCATGTCAAGTAGTTCTTAAATGTTAAGAAGGGGTTTGTCAAAAGTGGCGATTTGTTATTTAAACAATAGGACAAAGTGTGAGTACATCTGAATACCGATATCAAAGGGACCCAGGTCTGAACAAATATGTACAAGTGAAGAGTTTACTCCCCATTCAACTGTACCATTGCAAAATATCCTGTTGTTTCATGGTTACCTATGGCAAATTAAGAGTGGTGTCACGTTATAAGGGAGCTTAAGCTAGCATATATAAAATCGAAACGCCAACCTATACGTATAGTATAAACAATCGCCCATACAAATGAATCGCTTAAATATTTTCCGTTTACATTTAGGTTGTGAAAAACATTGCAAGCTTAAACTCTCTATTGTTGATAAACACGTGACTTGTTTTCATTTTTAACAAGGATGTACAAGCTGATTGGCTGTACCTTCATGTCGTTCGTTAAGGTAAATAAATCTAAGTTAGTCTTATGCATGTCGCATATCAATAATTTGGGAGAACCTCACTAGTGAATTAAAGAAAAATAAAAGGAATTTTTGCAATAGAATTTATTTACAGAAAACTCGCCATTATAAAGCAGTTGCATTAACATTATCTGAAGCTTTTATATCAAATATATAAACACTAAGTCTCGAAACACAGATAAAGGTTCAAATTATGTTAAATGTAGAATCAGACTTAAAGGTACTAAATTATCAAATTAACATCATCTTAATCACATCACACGTTTGTCCGTACTGAAAGATAGGATTTGGGAATATTGCTTCATAACATTTCTTCATTTACTTGCAAGCGTTCTGCAAGTCTAAATCTACCTTAAAAATTGCATGCGATCGAGCATGTGTACTAGTTTTAACACATTTTACTGAAACAAAACAAATAATATTTCATGCATAAAAATATCAAGCAAAAGCGTCATAAAAAGCATCTTGAAATATCTCGGTATCAGTGTCCAGTTAACAAGTGTAACTAGAATCACACTCAGGGTCATATACACCCCCTCCATATACTTGACAACTGGAAGTTCCATTCGAGAAAGCAAAATATATCAAAACCGGTTCATCTTTTGCGATTTAAAAAACTCATCAAATGTTAAGTTTCGAACTATTGTACTAAAGGAACACAATTATGATTCAAAAATCGACAGGCTTTCATATGCTAGCAAGTGAAAACTTCCGATTTCCAAACTAATGAAGGGGATGTACAGCTGAATCGTCACCCATATGCGTATTATTCAATGCAATGGTTGCCTCGCTGGTGTGATTGGTTACACATTGTGTCAAAATCAATGATTTCGATTTCGAATTGTCTGCTTTTACAGCTGGGCGGCCAAACCAAAATATGACGTCACGATTATCACTACGCGCCGGTGATTAAAAATTCTCGGCATACGTCCAGAATCCCCACTTCCCGAATAGATATTCTAATCCTGCAAAAACTACAGAATATTTACACTTTATACTTGGCAGAGACATAAAGTATAGTTTCTTTTTACGATTTAAATAGGTTTCGATCACGCAAACTTCAATATAAGTAGGGTAATTTGAACTTTCATTGCGAGAATTTTGAAGACCCCTTGAAACAATCGAATAAAAACACTAGTTCGGTAGGCAGTTTGAACTGTTGTTTTCGACTTGTAACATGTATTTTCAGATTTCAAGGTGTAACTTTATAAGTTATGACGTGAGTGGTCTATGTCCCTTCATATAAGTGTGTCTGGATCTATACTAGACAGATTCGCTGGACATTAAGTTGAAATGAGCTGTCCTTATCGGGGCTGACTCGATTTGGAATCAGCTGAATGGCGATTTTCCTTCTGACATTCGACGAGTTTAGTGAGCTCTTCAACCGATTTGTTCTTGGTAAATCGCTTGACCAACGAGATTAAAAGAAAGTCTATATCATATAGGTACTGCACATACCTTAAAACTGCATAACACGCGCGATTATTTGTATTTAATCGACTCTTTACCGTCTCCTGATGTCTATTCTAGAGTGAACTACATGTACTTGTCAAATACATTCCACAGGAGGTCAATGATACCGGTCACTGAGTACAGTGACCCAAAAGGCAAATTATAACATACCAATTACTATATCTAGTAGTACCCGGTTACCATCATTCTGATACTCATAGCATCTTTCTGTTTCACCTGAAACATGCTCTGATATTATGAGGCATATTCTGTGATCTGAGCAAATCAGATGGGAAAAGTTAAAACTATCAATAAGTGTGATTGTTATCATGTAATCATCTACCTTAATGTCAATACATTACATAATAGGCATTGTATTTAACAGCAGATATTACAACAGGCATAGTTACACAAGTTTAATGACCCCAATTAGATGAAATATGAGCTGGGATGAAAGATCTCAAAAATCCTCAAATTTGGGCTCTCCTGGATCGCCAAATCAAGCTCATTATATCATGGCATCTCAGGGCTGAGAAGATTTGAGATGGCATTGTTTATCATGATGGGTTACCATAGAAAATATAAATTCTATTGGTAAATGTAACTAAATCAGAAAACTCAGAAAATATAGAATAATAACGTTAATTTTGATTTTCAACTGAATATTATATTGAAATTGGAATCTGAGAATGTTCAATGCTGGGGCATAAATTTAAGGAATGGCAATAATATATGGAAAAGTATATTCATAATGTACATGAATGACATTTGTATATCATTGCAAGAGGTTACATTTCTTCATTTATCACTGAAGGGGCTAACTTTAGGCAACCATTGTCTAATTCATAAAAATATTGATCCAATCACTCCATTGTAGGCCTAAGTTTTTAATTGGTTGCTAATGGTAAAAATAGTAGCTTGAGAATGAGAATATAATTAAGAAATATAGACCGAAAAGCAGGGGTAATATTGTCGAATACACTCCGCGTGAAATGTTGACTTTGTTTACATTTTATAGAAGGCGTGAATACATTCGTGTTCGAATATAAAATTTAGCATAGAATTTATGCCTGGACTGGAATAAAAGGAGACGTCGCCGTACGGAGAACAGTCTCTTGGGCTCATAATTTTTTAATGAAAAATTTAGAAATATCACCCAAATTAAATCATGAATATTCAAAAGAACACACTTAATTCTGCAAGATGTAAAAATATCACAATTGTTCGAAGCAGGGGTATTACGTGCAGTGAGTAGACCGATTCAATAAAATACAATTAGTCTAGATTTGGAGAAAGAAGTTCATCAGTTTACTGCACTCATAATTTATTTTTTTATATGAAAAAATTTGAAATATCACCCAAATTAAATCTTTTCAAAAGCAGACATTCAAATCTAGCCTAAATAATGTAAAAGAATTGTGCAAAGCAGGGTAACGCTAGAGTGATGAACTTCGTTCTTCAAATCGAGAATACTCATTTGTTGAAAATGTTATACCTAGCATTTGTAACAGAATTATGCCTGGTACATACTTTTGCTCTAATAATGCAATATTTAATGTTTTCATGCTGGGGATATAATTGCAAATTTTGTAAAAATTATGCTAACAACAAATATGACACAGACAGATGTTATAATTATTTTAAATATTATCAATAATTCACTTTATTTTCATGATATTCAATACAATTTATATAATATTGCATGTGTTCAAAATAGCAGAACTTGATTGATACCTTCTAAACCATACAATAAGGGAACGAATTCATCATCATTCATAGGGAAGTGATTTTAAAGTGTGCCCCAATTTCAGACACAGATAGACATGATAGAAACCAGAACAACGGCAATGCCAAAGCGTAGCGAATCCCATCGAACAGAAATGGCTGGCATTTTTACAAACGAATGCAAATATCATAAAACAACACATCAGAAAGGCCACCATTTTCAAAATGGTTGCTCACTAGCCAAGTTGTCATCAGGAGAATTAATATGCTTTTAAGTAGCCATCTCTAAAATTTTCGAAAAATCGCACACATACTTGTAAAATAACACACATAAAAATGGTGGCCATTTTTCAAAATGGCCGACTACTCCCCAAAGTTTAATTAGACAATGTGCCATGCTTAAAGTATTCACATATCAAATATGAACAAAATCGCTCCAATACTTTTCGAGTTTTAGTAAAATACGTTAAAATGGCGGCCATTTTTCAAAATGGCCACATTCTACCAAAAGTGTCATTAGAAATAGACAGTGTGCCATGCTTATAGTATTCACATACCAAATATGAACAAAATCGCTCTACTACTTTTCGAGTTATAGTAAAATATGTTAAAATGGCGGCCATTTTTCAAAATTTTTTCAAAATGGCCGCCTTCTACCAAAAGTGTCATAGGACAATGTGCCATGCTTATAGTATTCACATACCAAATATGAACAAAATTGCTCCACTACTTTTCGAGTTATAGTAAAATACATTAAAATGGGGGCCATTTTTCAAAATGGCCGCCTTGTACCAAAAGTGTCATAGGACAGTGTGCCATGCTTATAGTTTTCACATACCAAATATGAACAAAATCGCTCCACTACTTTTCGAGTTATAGTAAAATACGTTAAAATGGGGGCCATTTTTCAAATTTTTTTTTTAAAATGGCCGCCTTCTACCAAAAATTTCATAGGACAGTGTGCCATGCTTATAGTATTCACATACCAAATATGAAAAAAATCGCTCCACTACTTTTTGAGTTATAGTAAAATACGTTAAAATTGCGGCCATTTTTCAAAATGGCCGCCTTCTACCAAAAGTGTCTTTAGACAGTGTGCAATGCTTATAGTATTCACATACCAAATATGAACAAAATCGCTCCACTATATTTTGAGTTACAGCAAAAATCGTAAAATGAACTTCTTTCGATGGGATAATAAATGTAGATCTAGACAGACAGGAAGTGTGTAATTGAAAATTGACCAAATGACATTAAAACTTGCTACATTTGACCAAGTTTTTGGAATGAGGATATTCTCAAAATTTCAGTTTTCATGAATCTCGTTCTAGCTTTTTAACAGAAAATAATAGGACAAGACAAAAACTAATAAATATCACTCTCAATGAGCATAGCACCAGTCGATTTGTATGAAGTTTTATCCTCCAGAGTTCCGAAAGTTCGTCAGCTATAGACTTTGAAGTTGTACATCAAAGTTGTACAAATTCAAATTGAATACCATGAGTGGAAGACATTTTGATGACAAAATATATTTAAAAATTCAAAATGGAGGCCATGTGAAATAACTGATAGGTTGTTTCCTTGGTATTTTAATGACAAGATATATGTGGCATCCATCCACCAGGTTGCATGCTGATTTAGCAGAAAATGAGAATAAAAACATGTAAAAATTACAGTTAACATTTTTTTTAAATCATAATTTCATAATTCCAGCGACATATTTCTAACCCTTTTTCTCAACACAGCCCCTGTGAGGAGGGGGGTCATGCCAAAAACTCACAGATTCAATGGATAGACAACCAAAATTTTAGATAAGCAGAAATAATCATTAATTTGGTTGAAATGAAAAACTAAGATTTTAAAAACTATTTACCAATGTACCAGTGTACAGGGTGTCCAGAAAGTATGGGACCCCCTAGGCAGACATATACCAATGCCTTCACAGTATGTATTATATAACATTTTGAAGGTTATCAAGAATTACATTGACTTGTCCAGTATCATGATTCAACTCTCAAATAGTGTTTGGCCAAGGTGAGGGTAGATACTCCATGGAAACTCTTTATTTCCTTAAAAATGTTTTAAGATGATTTAAAATGCAACATGGCCAAGGAAAGACACACTACTACTAATTTAGTGTAAAACTGAACTTCAACTGTAGCCAGAAAGTAAATTTTGAAAAATCTGTAACCTTTTTCCAATTTGGGAATTGACACATGATACTTGGCAAATCAATGTAACTTTGGATAAGCTTTAAAATCACATATGACAATGGGGGCATTGGTACATTCTGCCTGTGGGGGTCCCATACTTTTGGGACAGCCTATAAATCTTTCCAGCAAATAGTATTTTCCAGAATATTTCCAATATTAGTATTTTCCAATATATCCTTATCTAATTTTGAATCATAAATCATTACCTCAAAGAGTTGGAAGACAGAAGAATCAAATTGTCCCTGCTAACTGACTCTCTTTATAGTTCAATTTTCATGTCAACATCAAAGTCGTGTTATCATTCATTGTTATCATTTTGAGTATATAGTTCTTGGCATCTCGTTAACATTGCACAGTATCATTTTGTTTTCACCTTATCAATACTCTGCTGTTATGGACATGGTCTGGTCTTAAAATCTCCATTGTGTTTCATCAGGAACTGAGTTTTTCAGATCAGACAAAGTTGATTTAACTGTACCATTAATAGGTGATGGTGAATGGTGTAACGTTACGCCTTCATTTTTGTTGATTGATTCATGTGAAGTTGTAAATCTGAGCTTGATATTGTTGATAAGTATCTAGTAACCTTTGAAGCCAGTCATTTTTGCACCTATGGCAGGGAACATCTTCAGCCAACACAAAAAAATCTGAAAAATTAGAAAAATACATGAATATTAATGTTATATTATAAGAAACTTGATAGGAAAAAATCATGTTTTCTGTAATCAATATGACAATATAACAATGGACTAGTTATTAGAAATAATCTTGATTTACACAATTCAAAGTTTTCAAAATTCAGTCAATGTGATATCATACTTGAAATCTACATATTACTAGTAAATAATATCTCTTCAAATGTTGCATTGTGGGTAATAATTCAAGAAGACATTCCAGTAAAAATATAATTTGTGGGAGAATGTTCACATTTATTATTGCCATAATTGTGATGAATTCCATTTTATATTAAATTATCAACATGTATGCAGATGAGATAATCATGTTTTATTAGCTCACATGGTGAGCTGTTGCAATCACTCACTTGTCCGTCTGTCTGTCCGTCCGTCCGTCTGTCCGTCTGTCTGTCTGTCTGTCCGTCAACAATAGTGGCACGTTTTAAAACCTCTGTCGATAGGATTCCTGTTTTAAGTTATTTCTGTTCCACATCAATACAGAAAACCCCCCTATGACTCCTGGTTCAAAAGCTCGCCTATTTTCAAAATGGCCGTCACTTTTGTCTCGCGAAATTCACTTTTAGCCCATTTCCTAGCTAACCTCTGTCGATAGGATTCCTGTTTTAAGTTATTTCTTTTCAACATCAATACAGAAAACCCCCCTTTTGACCCCTGGTTCAAAAGCTCGCCTATTTTCAAAATGGCCGTCACTTGTGTCTCGCGAAATTCACTTTTAGCCCATTTCCTAGCTAACCTCTGTCGATAGGATTCCTGTTTTAAGTTATTTCTGTTCAACATCAATACAGAAAACCCCCCTATGACTCCTGGTTCAAAAGCTTGCCTGGTAAATTTCAATATACCCAATAGTATAGTCTCCTTAAACTTTCAAAATAATCCAATGTTGATTAGCTTACTGTTTCAGGAAAAGAAGCAAATATTATGTTTTAAATATTGCTTCTACGAGGAATATAATTTTAAAATGCATTTTTCTCTGAAACATTTTCATGACACACATGCATAGATAGTTCATTTCTTGCTTATTTATCAATACATTTTTTAAAATCAAAACTTAGATGATATATATGGTATACCAACTTCAGTTAGTTACATGAAAACAAACAGTTTACCTAGTGTTCTCCATCAGAGGATTTGAACATAATTTCTGTTCTAGGTTGAGTCAAGGCATTGTTGTTGGTCCTCTATTCTACTTTTGCAAGGCATTTCCTGAAAAAGTTATATATATTTTTTATTAGGGCTGAAAAAGCTATTTTGATGGTAAAGGTCATTTTGACAATAACCATTGTGATCCTGGCCATGTAAATGATATATGGGAGAACTACAACTGACTGAAGATCAAAGCAGAACTCAGTTATCTTACTTCATTCAAAAAACTTTAAAATAACATGATTATTTCATTTCCTGTTTGGTGTAAATTTCTGATAACTACCATGAGACCTTAATGTGACCATAATATAATTGGCGGATCTGGGGGGGGGGTAATGGGCGGGGCCTCGTCATTTGGGTGGGCTCAGAAAAAAATGGGCCAAAATAAATTTTGGTCCAAAAAAGTCTTAAGGCCCCAGAAAGTGGGCTTTTTTGGTCATAATGGGGGCTTCTAAGGCCTTATTTTTTAATTTTAGGCCAAAGTTTCAACATAATGGGCCTCAAATGTCAAAACTTGGTTGTAGGGGTCCAAACATTTTTTTCGCTGAAGTTTTTTCTCAGACCAGAAACTTGCCCCCCCTCCCCTTATTGGTTCCCAGGCCCCTGCAGCCCTGTAAATGTTCGCTCGCCACTCAGGTCAAGAAACATTGTAAACATTTTACGGAACTACCTTGACTTTGTCGCAAACCAACAATATACACTGTTACTGTACAGCATTAATTTCTTGAATTTGCACAACACATGTAAGGTTACACCTATACTCACATAACAAGCAAATCTAGTCTTGGGAATTCACAAATATGACTGAGGCATTGCTGTTCAGATTCAGAGAGGGAAGATGACATTGAAATCCCCTGTGAAATCCACAAATTAAATCTGGTAGGCACATCGAAGCAGAGGCAGAATCAAGGAGTTCTGGAACCTGCTTTCTGGAAATGCACAAAAGAAATAGCTATATATTTTGCGCATGCGCAATATGACCCAAAATATGGTCCCTAATTTTGAAACAACATGGGTCATTTGGAGGCGCTGACATCGAGCTTAACTCCAAGACCCTGATGCTATTTACATCAAATATACAATATTTATTATCACATCAATGTGTGAGTAAATTTCTAGAATCCTATGTGCAATAAAATATACTGAAATTTGATGAGATTGCCTCTAACTTTAAAAAATTTCAAAAATCAAAAATTACACCATCATTATTCAAATTATGTGTTTTCAAACTACGTTATCTAACAGAAATACTGAACTTACTTAAAAGCCGTGAACTCCATCGTAATCACCTGGAATCCCTGAATCCTGTAAACACTATCGGTTGATCTAAATATCCATGAATCTACTAAAATCCGTTCAAATAGGCTGAGCCAGTTCAATTTGTTTTCAGCGCCATCGATACTTTAAAATTACGAACGAAAGGGAAAGACCCCTTGGAATCAACTAAAAATTGATAAAACAGTTAGCGATTATTGTTTTGTTTGACATTCTCTCTTGATTTTAAGTACAGTAATGCCAAGTTGGTGCTCAAAGCCATCCACAAACAATTTATGAATGACCGATGTTGTTGTTTTGTGGCTGAAATGCAAAATTTTAAAAACAGGTCACGTGACCTGAGAAGGTCCTTTGGCATTTCAGCAATTTGGCGGATTCAAGAGTAGAAACCGCTCCAGATGATGGCTTCAAATTGCCATAAGAACTTCGAATTGATGCACAATACGGCTTACTTATGCGTATTTAGATCATACGCATACGTTGAATTCAAGAATTAGTTGCTAAAGGGCTAAAAATACTGAAAACTTCGAGTCCGAAGACGACCCTCTTCAAAAGCCAGGGCTTCACCATTTTGGGTAATTTTGACACGACAATATGACTGGACCGCAATTGATTCAAGTCTCCTGACAAAAGTACTTATCCAGGTATTTTTATATTTAGACACCATATGTATTTTAGACTACTTTTTATTTATCAATAGATTTTTAACCACAGATCTATAAGAAAAAAATTTGCCCAAAACATTCTGAACTAATGTTTCCTCAGAATTGTTTTTGTCATTTAGCTGATTTTCTGATCACATATTTTTTTCGACGTGAAGAAATCAATTCCCAACAAAAACTTAATGCGGGGATTGGGAACTACAAGTCAATTTTATCATCTACTGGTTATTTTGTATCGGCTAACTACGGGTTTCATCCGAGATTGAGTGTTTACAACTTCAGGGGACCATGTCAAAATCGATCCCTGAGAATTAACATTTTTTTCTGAAAATCAATTACTGCTGACTAAGTGGCTGATAACTCGAGACATATATAAGAATGGGCAATAAAACGTTCAAATCACGTCCGCGAGTTAAGGGGGGTGCGTTTTGTACTAAAATCACATAAATAACTAATCTCAGAAAAAAATGCCCAAAACATGTATACGACCCCAATTTTCAAAATTATCGAAACCCAGTTTCAAAACTTTTCTCTTTGAGGTCTTCTTTCTCACCCACCATACCTTATTTTGCTTATTATTCGTGAAATATAGTTACATCCCGATATCTCCAAACGTTTCCCGAAATATCGGCCAAAACCATTACGTTTATCGATATTAAAAGTCAATTTATGCACAGGTGTCATTTTATATGATTTTTGGAGGCGGGACTATATTCTGTAGAAAAGCACGATTTTCGCGTAGTTTTCAGGTTAATGCCGAATCACCGCGACAATTGATTTCTGGGTTTGGCTGCCCAGCTGTTAATCATATCATCATATCGTAAAAAGTAAACAGGCCAATTAAATTTTCATTCATGAAACGAGCCAAATATTAATGAAATATCGCAATCTACACCCCCCCCCCCCCCCCCCCCATTAATCCCTCTTATCTTAATTGGATTTGAATTGAGTGACATATAACTAATATAGATATTATGATATGATCAAACAGTACACTTATCCAGTCCGTTAATATATGTAGGTCGTTACGGCAACCCCTTCGATCCGGAGTAATGAGAGCGGTTGTCATAGCCACGTATATTCTCTTGTTTGTATTTCTCCTGGTTATCCCGTCTGAGCCGAAATACTGCGCAAATGGCGACATCTATAGCGAGGAGCAGCAGAACTGCTAGAACGATTGAAACGAGCAAAAACTCCATGCTATGTAAACATGATCCATAGGTGTTGTCCCCTGACCCATTGTTAGCTGAAGAAAAAATTGGTTTAGTTCAGTCATCGTAACATGTCATACATAGCGCCTATTTTTGTTAAATTTTGTAACAAATGCCAAAATATATATTTCAACAAAAGCAATTTAACAATCTATGCGCATGGAATGATGGGAAGCGACATACTCTAAAATCACCGTTAACGAGTGCTTCCACCTGGGTAATTGAGAATGCATTGAGCTTGCTCAAGTACATTGTTCATCCATTAAGATATTGTATCAATGTGTGTGTTAAAATACAATATGCAAATTAACATTTGTAAGTGATAGAATCAATTTCTTCTACATCAATATTCAGCATCGATACTACGAGATAATGTATGTTAAGAATTAAAGACCATAAGGACGGAGAATTACGGAACCGTCACGTTCACGTACTAGTATTTTATCTTTACTAGTATTTGGAAGTTATACTTGTTGAAGTTGCAAATGGAGACTTACCTGCATTAGCCCCAACGCCATTGTCTGAGGATCCAGTCCCCACGTGGAATGTTCTTGTCACGTATCGTTCTCCTGGAGGAGGCCATCTATAATGTTCCTCCTTCTTCTCTTAATAGCGGGGCAGTTGCTTCCAGCCTAGGGATTGATTAACATTCTAATTGCACTTCTATCTCCAATAATGTTTTTCATTTGAAACTGCTCCCGTTAATTTGATAGTTTTCGTTAAGACCTCGATGCAACTTATTCTTGTTCCAAAACTAAGTTACTATAGAGTTGTATCCCGTCTTGCTTGAAGACTATGTACCCCCTCCCCTCATGAAGGTTCACGGTCTTAAGGCAAGACTAGATATAACTACATTACCATGCGCTCCATTGAAATATATGAATGCAGTCAGAATGAGGGTTTAGGCGTGCGTTCAGAGGGATTTTATGAGACATAATTTTTCATGTTGCTAGTATGATTTTACATATTTGTATGGATTATTAGATCTTAGTTTTTCAGCTTTTAGATTTTGTGGCCATTTTACCCCCCATGGGCTATTATTTGGACCCCTACTAAAAAATTGGGCTGGAACTCCAAAAATACTCAGTGGAATGTATCCAAATTACTTTGATATATTGGTATGGGCTAACTGAATATATAATTAAAATTTCATGTCACATGGTTAAGCGGTTGCCATAAAAACAGATAAAACATACCCTTCGGGTGTTGATTTTCAGGCCATTTTTCAGAAATGATAGAGCCATTTCATGCATATTGTGTCACCATTGTGTTAGGAAGGGGTATGAATAGAAAACTTCTATAATATATTAGCAACAGTCTTATATAAAGATTAGTCCACAGGATTTCAGATTTTGGCCTTATATGGGTCCATGATTTATACAGGGGTCTATTTCACAGACTCGAACCCCAACATTAGATGGATGCTATAACTTTTGAAATAATGGAGATACAGGTCTTACTTTTTCAGATCTTCATAAATGGTTGGTTTTAAGTATTGTATTATACTTTGGGAGCTGGTATGTGATTGGTTGCTATGGTAACCAAGGTTTTATTGAAATTTGGACCCCCACATTGGATGGATGCTTTAACTTTTGAAATAAGTGATATACGTGTCTCATTTTTTCAGATCTTAGACAATGATTGATTTTAAGGATTGATTCAGACTTTGGGAGCTAGACGGGTATTTGATTGGTTGCCATGGTAATCAGGGTTTTGTTGAAATTCAGACCTCCACAATTGATAAACGCTATACTTATACAGGCAGATACAAATATCATTTTTTCAAATATAAGATAATAATAAAATGTGTATATAGTATTAGACTTTGGAAGTTAGGATTTACTTGGTTGTCATGGTAACCATGTTTTATTTTCATGGTTTTTGTTTTTAGATTCACCTTCATACTAGATAGGTCAATACATGATATAAAATACCAAATTGCCATTTTATCCTTAATTTTTGGATTTTTTCTATTTTATATGATTTACATGCTCATGATTCGATCCCCGGTTCAAGCAAGACTTTTTCAGCAAATGATTTAATATTGATTGGTTACCATTAGGTATGCGGATTTCTTCCTCAAACATCTCGTTTTAATAAAAACGTTCCTTAAAGATATGTTGGGATTTGTCCTTAAATGTATGTTAACTCTTAATCTTGATTTAATTTTACAAATGTTATATTAAAATGTATGATTTTGCTTTCAGATTTTAGGATATCTATTCAGTAAAAGATTCACCGAAACTATTTTAATATAGAAAATCAGATTGTCTAACTTTTTCAAATTCAATTGTATTTTGCGAAAGCAAAATGCATGCATGTATCGGAAATGATGTCAATTTATTTTTTCCAGCCCTAATTTTAAATCACCAATACAAGAAAGACCCTTGTGACTCTTGGTTCAAAAGCTCACCTATTTTCGAAATGGCCGCCTTGATGTCAAGGAAAATTCACCTTTTATGAATTTATTGTAGTGACTTTATAAGTAATTTCGAATGGCCTGCAGTGCAATAACTCACGTGATTGTTATAACAGTAGTTTTATGAGATCATTTAGTAAAAAATTGGCAAAAATTGTATCTGCGTTTTTATTGTCGGCCAAATTAGGATTTTTGATCCTAAAACCTCGCTTAAGAAGTCTTCTCTACAGGTTTTAAGCCAGACCTCTGTTGATATTATTTAGTTTTAGGTTACCCTTGACATATTGTATTGGTATTGTTTAATAGTATCCATCAATTCATCCATCCATCCATCCACCCACCCATCAACCCATCCACCCAAACATTCAACCAACCCATCCATCCATGACACAATGAAAAGTAGAATTTTCTGCTTTTTTATTGTTACAAAATGTATGGCGTCGTTCTGAACATGATTCAGGGTTCACTACTTCTTCATATTTACATTTTGAGGAGGGAAGAAGAAAGCATTTAGACATTACGTAGGTTAAAGAATAGTATTTACTGTATGAAGTAAGACCATCCACTTACCAAATATTTTTCAAGTTTATACAATGACATTGTTACCACTATTCATGACTTTCGTTTTGGCAAGAGAACATGTAAATATTTTCCTCTGTTTATTCATATAGACCGGGTGCTTTTCTGCAAAAGGTCTCTCTGTAAAATGTGGTAGGCGTTTAGTGTTAAAAGTGTTCTGACAAGTGTTTCTTATGTAACTTTTTATGCTGAATCCAAAAAACCATGTTGGCAAGCTGAAATATGATTATTTAACCCTTAAAATACCATGTTAGTCCCCCTACCCCCAAAATTCACCCCTATCAAGGGGAAAAAATTCTTCAACCTAAAATAACTTTGATTTTATGATTTTTGTAAGTGAAATACATGGACATTGTATAAAATAAACATTTGAAGTATGAATGATACGGATTATCCTTAAGAAATTTGAATAAAAGCAAAAAGTATGTACCTCAGGGGGCAAATTTATGACCCATTTTTTTACTTTTCGTGTCATAACTTTTTTATTAGACAATGATGGATGCTAAAAAAATCCATGTAAAAGGCATAATACCTGGTCTACTAATCCTGCAAGAATCAAAGTAATTCCTTTGATAATTGCCTTGAAAAAAATTAGTGAATTTAAGAAAAAAATGACATTTTAGCGGGGATTGATTTTATGTGTGACTATAACTGACCCCTATTGCTTTAACATTTATCCCTCTGTGTTCATATATTTGGCATTTTAGAATAAATCTAAATAAAATATAAAACTTATTTTAGCAAAGTTTTAGGAAGATTTAAGCTTTTTATCATGTTCAACTATTAAAAATTCATGAAATATGATGTCTAAAATTGATAAGTTATACGTATACCCTTGGAAGACCCTTATAATTTCTTATTAATGAACATATATTTACCAATATTAGTTTTCTAGCTTAGAGAAATGATGTATGATATATCCTGGCTTGACTTTCTGGTGGTTTGAACAATCTTTTAAGTGTTATCATTGAAAATTCATTCTTAAATCATAGGTCTGCAATGGATTAAATTCATGTATACCATTAGTATCATTCTACTGATATGAGCATAATTGAACTAGCTATGATTTCATAGATTAGTTGTTTGATGTATGACATATTCCAAGCTGACTTTCTGGTGATTTTAATCATCTAAGAGGCTTAATCATTCAAAACCATTACAGATAAAGGTCGAAACGGACAGTATTAAGGTACACTATTAGAATACCCTTATTAATTCCAGGCTTAGAGAATATTGCTACCTACTACTGTTTCATAGCTCGGAGGTTTGATATATGACATATTCTGACTAGTTTTTCTGCAGATTTGAACCACCTAACAGGTCTAATCATTGAATATACTTAATATACTAGGTCTAAAATTGAAGTATTCAATAGAACCCTCTATGATAAATTCAAAAAAGATTCAGAATGACATTAACCTCAACACTGGATCTGAATCAGAATTACAATTCTTCATAGAGCTGAACTAGGAAGACAAGGCTAATTTCATTCTAAGCAGCCTGACAATAGCATGATGTGAGAGCAAAAGTACCAATGATTCATACAAATCTTCATTTTATGGAGTTTTCTTCCCTGAACAATGTTTAGTCATATTAAAAAATCTCCCCCCCCCTGTCCCCATTAACCTTTCTGTGTTACTCTTGGGAGTTAATGCAGAAATTCTTGACAAATGGTGTATACTCACTTTGACAACATTTTGAATTAGTGGGATGTTTCAGTTAATGAGAGTTTTTGCAGAGTAGCAATTTTTGAAATTTAAATCCAATAGGACCATATATGGGAAATTCAAAAAAGATTCAGAATGACATTAACCACAACATTGGATTTCGAAATTAAATAAAGCAACTGATTGATGTGATCTCGGATGACTCTTGTAAATCAGAATTACAATCAATCATAGAGCTGAACAAGGAAGACAAGGATTACTTTTCATTCTGGTAGTAATACATGGACATGGTCCAAATCTTGATACGCTTCACCATAGCCCAAAGAAAGGGAAATTGGGAGCTTCATCTCAATGTATTTCAATGCATGATCCCCCTTTTCATGAGATATGACCACCAAAAGTATGCAAGATGGGGCACAGTACACAATCACTGCTGAAGTTTTGCTTCCTTGAAGACTGTAGCCAAATCCTCAGATGTAGATGCAATTGATGCTAATTTGTAAGAAGGATCATATATTGGAAATATTACGGTTGGCATTTCAATACCATTTGTTAAACAGTTAAGGAGTAGAGTACATTTGAGTTGGCTTGAATGTTTCATTCGTCAATGAGGGCTATTGGAAAAGACATCAGCTCATGTTTCATGATTTCATTGATGCCCACAGGTCTGTGGTTAGCTTCATATGCAGTGATAAGATTCTGCAAAACATTCCTGTCTGCCTTAACAACTTTCTGCTTGTTTATATTGGGATTAGGCATATAGTTTAAAAAATGTTGGTGCTTGCTCAGTAGATCAAGAAATGTTGTGTCTTTCATTTGACTCTGTTGGTATCAACCTCTAAGACACAAAGACATCCAGTTGTTGTTGGCCAAACTGTCGAGCCTGTTGATTGTTTCTGTGAGTACATCTTTT